CTGCACTTCTTTTCTACTAACTTGTGTTTACTAATTCAGTTTTCCTCTTGCCAGTTCTCTTGATATCCACCGTTCCCCTTGATAGTCCATTCAAATGTTGCTCTTAAAATAATATTTCTTGCTCTTTATTCAGATCTTAACAACAATGCCTCCAATTGATTTCATTTCCAGTATTCCATCTGCAGTCATTGTCTGCTCTATCAAATTCAGGCTTCTTGTTTTAGCCATTCAGGTCCCCACCACCCTGCTCTGTCCTAACCAATAAGAGTGACCTCTCTCATCCTGTTTCTCCATCCCACTGTGCCAATAACAGAAGCCTTGACAACTGTTTATTGCCCACTTTAACTCAACATATTAAAACAAGCAACAATTTTTTTTTTTTTTTTACATTTTATGTAAATATCTAACCCAAACAGATGTTAGTGCAATGTTTACAGGCCTGTAGCAATTTCCTGTACAACTAACATTTTATTCATTTTTTGGTAATATGAAAAAAGATCTTTTTTTTATTTTCAGTGCTCCATGGGAAATTTTAAAGAACGTTGTTTTGTGAGGTCTCACCTAATCCGTGGATTTGATTCTCCTCCTCATTTGTTTTTATTACTTTAATATATAAAATGATGAATAACTATGTATGTAAAAAGTCTCACTGGGACTTTTATAACACCCACTAGATTGTGAAAACTTCCCAAACTCAGGGACACACTACAATGATTAACACAGCCCAGCAAAACGCACAGAAGAAAAGAGAGTATTACTTACACAGTCTTTTTGTCCTGTCGCAAGAGTTTAGAAGAAAATTCACTAAGCACTTCAAGGAAAGCAAGGTTAGGAGGTGGATAGTCTTGTCCTTTTTGATTCTGATATTTGAAGGCAAACTCTATGCCATCTCTGCAGTAAAGAAATATTAAAATTTTCAGAGGTTTGTAACAAATTAAAAAAAACATCCCAGCACCTCTAAATGCTGCCCAAAATCTGAACTAGGATAAAACTCTTTGCATCTCATCATTATTTTATTAATAGCAAAAAGCTGCTTTTGGATATGGAGTGTATCAAATGTTGCCTTGGAATGTGTAAGGATTGAATCTTGAAGACAAGATGTTGCCGGCCACATTTAGAAGGATCTAAACCACAAGATAAGAAATCTGGCAGGTGTTGAAAGCCACTGCCTTATCAGGAGCGGCCAACTGGCTCATTCTTGTTTCTGCATGAGGCAGAAGCTCCCAATAAGAATAATATGTAAGATATAAAAATATACAATTTGATACATCAAGAGTCAGGAAAGAGAATTTACTTATCAGTACATTCATACATGCAACTCTGCCTTATTTTTGCTTTATCATTTGAGACGAGAGGAAAAAAATTTACTTTCACACTACCCATAAAGGGCGCATGCATGCCTTAACCTCTCTGTTGCTTGGCACAGGAAAGTGTCTGGAAGCATTTTCATTTCCTTTCAGTCACAGAATCCTAGTTTGGAGGTAACCCAGGAAGAAGTGTGGGAGAGAGGCGAAGGAAAGTGCAGAATGGCTACAGATTTCAAAGAACTGTGGTTACTGGTAAAAAACCTTTGTCTAGCATTGCATCTCAGATGTCTCCAGGCAAGCAGTAAGCCCCCCTAACTAGAGGTGTAACACCTAGGATGCCCACGTTCCTCAGAAAGACAAAGCTCCCTCTGGCCTTTCAGCAGATGTCAGGAATTGAGACCTTTCTCAGGAACATCAGCAGAACAGCGTGAGATCTGGTTCCCCTGGCAGAGGAATCCTCCAACTGAGCCATGATATGAAAGGTCTCGGCACAGCTGTTACTGAGTTAGACAGCCACAAAGACCTGTAAGCAACTGTGCTGCAGGGACGATGGCAGAGAAGTAGATGCAAAGCCAACCTAGTCTGCTCACGCTTCCTTTCATGGTCTGCTTGCCTTAAGGGCTGAATTGCTAGAGCATATGTATTTATGTTCCATGAGAAAAGCATTTACAGTAGCATAAAGAGCTCTCGAAAATGTACTTATCTAGCAAAACAGACAAAATTCTTGGTCTGGTGATTTTATCCATCTGTTTTCCCTTCTTTTCCTTATTTGCCCGCAGTTCCAATCACTGAACTATTTACTACAGCTAAAGAAACTTCTTTTCTCTCAGGGTGATTCAGGTTCACTGACTCTTCACCGGTATACTATGACATTCCCCTTGTATTCTGGAAGAGGAAATTTAGGCCAAGTGGCTAATGTGCCTGAGGCATGCTAAACAGCTGAGAAATTCCCCCGACAATGCTGTAGGAATTTGTTCCTAAAAGAATCCCAGGACATTCTGTAGGATGAGGAAAAGCTCTTTTCAATGTCCCTTTTGTTACCTAAGAGTAGGCTCTGGGAACGGATGACAGGCAAGCATTTCTTCTGGAACTTACTGCTAGGGAGTTTTATCACACAAAGAAACTAATGCCTCCCCTTACAGCTGGTGCTGAAAGGCTCACGGAACTTGCTACCTCAGTTCAGATGGAGGCAATGGCTTTGGCATTCAGTAACCTGTAGCTGAGATGATACCGAATGAATACTTCTCCACCAGTTGCACTTTGGTGTGCTTTGCCCTCCTTGTCTGAAGGGAAATTCAAGAGATAATGAAGAACTGACAAACTGATTTGAGGATCACCACCTACTCTTAGTTCTCTTTCAGTGAGACAGAACAACTAGACTGACACCAGGGATATCTCTTTAACAGACTCTTGAACTTTTCCAGTCCCCTGGAAAGTTATGAGGCAGACAGGGCTGAGAGGACTGAGACCAAGTCAGTCTCCTGGAATATCCTTTCAGGATCTCCACATTTTTTCAGTGGAGGTCTTCACTAGTACTAATGACAGTACCAGTGACCGTTGTCAATGTGGGAAGGAGCTGCCTCCTGACAGTGAACACTCGTTTTGAAAAAAACGGTGCAGATAGCCTCAGACCTGGGTGCTTAAGGAAGCAGCAAAAAATGATGGTGGGGACTGAGCATGATAGAAGATGTTTACCTGTTTATAGGTATCATGAAGATAAAAAAAAATTGCCTCAGAAGTGACCAACGTGAAGGCAGTATAAAGATGGTGCCGCCTTCAATGCAAAAGAGTGCTAAGATTAGCTTGAGATAAGAGGCAACTCATACTACTTTCTGGTCTAATATATGACACCTTTATTTTTTGCCCGTCGTGAGTATGACACACACCTTTTAACACCATGACCAGAATCATGAGATTTACCAACTTCATCTGTGTCATCTGGACTAAAGGAGTAACTGACAGCAGTAGTAAGATGACATCTTCTATTTGGACAAGCACTAGGACTTCCTGAGAGAGCTGTCCAGATAGCTGCTGGAAGCTTAACGTGGGCAAGCAGAATCTGGGATTTCAATCCGGACGTTGGAAGGAAGCGTAAACTAGCAGGCAGTAAGCACGTGGTAATCACAAGTGTAAACTTGTGATGTTCATTTCCAGATACCATGCTTTTTTCCTTATCTCCTCTAACCTTCTTCTGCACCAGTTATGTTTTTTTCCTGGTCTAATTCTTTATATTAGTCTCAGCCTTTCAGATACCAAGTCCTGATCACGCTTTGCTAGTCTCAGTGTTAATAGTCTCAGATAGCAAACTTTAATATTTTGACCTTTTTATGGCATGGGAAAGTCATCATTTAGATTTAGCAGCATCTTTCTTTACTTTCCTACACATCAGTTAGATAAAGAGCTTCAATCCACTTAAAAAAAAAAAAAATCTCCAAAATCTCTCTGGAATATTTTTTTATAAAATCCTTGGTGCCTACAGAATCCACAATGGTGTGGTACAAAGTACTATCACGCTTGTTGGATATAATCCACACAAGTGTATAATACCAGTGGCATTGCTTTTTCCACATAAATTAAGAGACAGAATATAATTACTGCATGACCCAGTAAGATTATGTACCTTTAGAAAAGGTATGCTGAGCAAAACTTTTAATCTGTAGGAATATGAAAATCTAGTGTATTTACCACCACTCACTTGTGTAGTGTGGCCACAGCCTCTCTTGTCTTGATCTGATCCAAGCCAAAAGTGAGAGCAAACCGGCGGGCCAGTTCCTTAATTCCACTAACATGGGCAGATGTCCTGTCCAAATTGGGACCTTGTTCCTGCACGAGCTCATTAAACAGCTAAAGAAAAAATTCAGTTGTTAAAAGCCGTGAACTAGAAAACATTTTTCTTAAGGAAGATGCTCACCTGTTAAGGCTAAGAGTGAACGTTACAATGACTTTTTCACACTGATATAACAAAGTTCACTTATATTCATCTTATGATCCGCTTCAGTTCCCAAACTTTCTTCTTTGTAAACTGCTGTTTGTCAGCTGTCCCCCATCTTGCACTCAGGCAGATGATAACTCTTAAACACAGCATTTTGCATTTACCTTTATTGATTTGCAATCTTATTATTTTGCCAATTCACCAAGATGATTCTGGATTCTCACCCTGTTTTCTAAAAGATCTGCATCACTTATCAGATCAGTATCATCTATCAATTCAGGAAGCAACATGTCTATTCCATCACTCAAGACAGTGAGTATTACTGGGTAGGCACCTTTAAAGCCTGCTTGGCAATACTCTTCCAGTAAAACAATGGCCTTCAGGTAACCACTTAGATCACATTTTCCCCAACCTGCTTTTGAGAACATCACAGTAGATGGTGTCAACAGCAATATTAAATCAAGTTGCATGAAATTTACCGTTTCTCCCCCAGTCCACAAGTTCTGTTCCCATATAATTAATGAAAACAGCTGGATTTGACATGATTTCTCCTTGACAAATTCATACTGGCTGTTACCTCTCACTTAGGCACTTGCAAATAGCTTGTCTAATTATTTGCTCTCCATGAAAAGATATCAGGCTGACTCATCTATGACTCCTAGCTTCTTCCTCTCTCCACTTTTGCAAGACACGAACTACTTTGATATGCTTCAGTTCTTCTGGAATTTCATCTATTCTTCTCAAGTGTTTTAAGATATCTGTCAGCTTTGAGATTGCAACAGCAAATTCCTTTATACTCTGGAATGAGCTTCGTGAGGCTCAGCTGATTTGAAAACATCTAATTTATGTAAGTAATTTCTCTGTGTAAATGGATATAGCCCCCTACTTCAAGGGACTAAATGGTATTCAGTGAAGCATACACGTTGTGCTGTCAGCAGAACAAGGATGGATTTCATCATCAAGCCAATAATTTATAGTTGATCTAAAGTAAGTTGTTTGGGGGAAAAAATATGTTTAATAATGTTGGAAGACTTATACAACTTGCTCAGTCTTTGAAAAAAATCCATCAGTATTTAGACAAAATATGAAGCAGAAGATGCATTACATTCAGCAAATTATATGGAGGAAAAAACCATCCTAATTCTTCTTGCTCACTAGGCACCAGTAAACAAACATGAACCAGGTTGGACCAAATTGCCTTCAAGGCTTTTCTCTTCCTTTCTTCCATTTTTATCTGACCAAAACTTTGCCTGGGTTAGCTTAGGGGGAACAGAGATTTTTAGAGGAAAATGAACGCTGACAGTCCAAACTGAGGAGCAAGAGAACCTCTTAACAGAAGTGTACTATTTTTCGCTTCATTGTAAAGGGCACCAGAGAAAAGTCATGCAGAGAATATTTTGGAACGAGACATCTGTAACAAAAATCAGTATTCTTACCTGTTGCAAACTGAGAATGAGCGTCTTTGCACACTGAATTTTATCAATTTGCCTTGTTTTGCTCAATGTTTCCTTAATGATATCTCCATAGTCATTGTAGTACTAGGAAAAAACGTGGGAAAAACTCTAAATCAAATCTCTTGCACAGTTTCTCATAGCTTTCCTGACAGATTATTTGTAATTCTTGTTTTGAAAAGGCAACAGTTTTCTGAAACAGCAATCTGAAATTACATTTTCTCTACGAGTGGGAGGCAGTGCTTCAGTATCAAAATTTAAACTGACCAGTAGCCTGCGTCCACCACTGACGAGATCAGGAACTTTATTCGTTCTTATCTTTTGAAACAAATAGGTTGTAAAATAAGCAAAACAGTATTTCCTCTGCTAAACCAAACATTTGCCAAATGGTGGTTGCAAATTCTAAAAAACAGTATCACATTAAACCAACATACCATTGTTAACAATCTAGGTGTAAGTGGACACTAACACACAGATGTGAAGCTCCACATAAAGTGCACAGTGAGTTAGATGGCTGAGAACGGAATTCACTGAAGCCAGAAAGCTGAGTAAGGAACTAGTCTGTAGAAAGTGCTGATTTTCTTTACGTTAGAAGAACGGTTGCTGAAAATCACAGCCTCTTGCACTGGCCGTTTAGGTAGAAAAGCCTGTATAATCAAAACCTGCTTCACTAAGACTTCCAGGCTGAGAATCTCAACAAAAAATTCCTTCCAATTAGTACTTTTTCAGCCTGATTAATCTTTCTGCATTTCCAATCATTCATTTTTTTCTTCCCTCTTAAAATATTGCTCCTGCCTTCTTTGGTACAGAGATCCTTCTAGTTTGTATTCTAATTTAAATTCAATTTCCCTCACTCTCACCCAATTTCAAGAGAAAAAAGGAAAGAGAGAAAAAGAACAAAAAAAAAAAAAAGGAGAGAGAAGACTGACCTAGAGCAGCAGGGAGGAAACTAACCTGGAGTGTGACAGCTTCAGCTTGAAAATCCTGCTCTGGAGAAAAGACCTAAGCAAGACTAACCCTGAACTGGCTGATGGCTAGGTTGTACAATGGAGACATTATTGTGTTGCATGCTCCCAATGAACGGAGCAGGATTTGAAGTTAAATCCTTTACCTTTCATGCTGAACACAGGTCCATTGCAAAGGACCTTCTCTGCCCACTCTATCTACAAGTTTTTCCTCCTTGATTGTCTTTTGTGATGACTAATCTCTTACAGAGAGACAGGCAGGGCTATACCCAGTGTTTTGATAGAAGCCGAAGAGCTTCAAGTGGCTTGACAGTGTAACGAGGGCTAATGTGCACGTTCTCTGGCGGGTAAACTTGCAAAAACAGGGTTAAGTGGCAGCTAAGCAGTGAGTCTGTCTGAATAGCATTCAGACCTAAGTATTGTAGGGAAGCAGCTAAAGTGGTAAGACATTCAGTAAACACATACCCACTTCCAATGGCAGCATACAGAGCTTTCTTACCGCTTCCCTGTTTAAAACGTTCTTTTCCCACAGAAAAATCTACTTCCTTATTATGGCAAGTGCCAAGATGGGGAGATTGGACAATGAAATATGCAACATGTGACATTGAACAGACCACTGTTATTGCGGATTCTAGGAGCGAATTTGAGGAGTAGGATAAGAAATACACTTTAAACGTAAGGCACTCTGAAAATACTTAGCACCCTGTAGGATCAACTGTTGGTGCTGCCTTTAATAGGGCACTCCTACTACATCAGAAGGGATGTTCAGAGCTTACTGCATCTTAGTCACAGGAGTAATTTAAAAACAGGAAAATTATTACAGAAATCAAATCACATCAGCTGGAACAAGCTTTCAAAATTGTTCAACCTTTAACTACTGCATTGGGAAAAAGAGGAGCAGGTGACCTGACACTACAATTTCCACGTTCGGTTTGGAGGAGGAGAACACACAGAGCTGTACCTTCATGTAGTGTTTGAAGATATCTGCTGCTGCATGCATATCCACAATGTCATAAATTATCAGCTTGCTAAAGGCAGCCAACAGGTTCCTTCTCTTATGCAAAGCTTCTATTTTGTTAGCTTCATCTTCTTCATCTCCCTCTGAAAGCAGCAACAACAATAAAAATGCTTATAAATATCTGTTATGTTCTAAAGCAACATTACTTAAGTATAATAAAAGAGTAACTTTTAGAACAATTCAATTCATCAAAATGAAGCGAGGGTTGTTGCAAGAGAAGCTAAAATGAAAGGTGATAATTCTTGCATCCTGCCTGTGTTAGGGAATTCAGGAAAGTTTTGGAAGGTGACACACCATTGACCAAAGGTGCTGTAATCTTGAATGGGTACTGGACACAATCCACAGGGATACTAAATCATTTAATTTCTTTAACCTGGGAAAGGCCACAAGGAAGACTTGTTGAGTGCTTTTTGTTTAACCACTGTAATCAAAGGACATTTGGAGATGCTTCTTTAACGTGACTAAGCCAGAGATATTTCATACAAGAAGAATTAGAAGCAGCAACACTGCTACTGCATGGCTTGGATTTTCAGGCATGAAATTCCTGGCCCTAAAGCAGCAATAAAAAATAGGAGATATAATTCAGTTGTAAGAACTGTTAACATCGAGTGCTACTGTCATAAACATTAAGTCCCCGTAAAAGTCCCCACTCAGAATGAAAACAAAGCTATGTTCATAAAACATAATATCCTATAATAAAACCATATTCCACAACTTGTGTAAGAAAATGAAATGAGCTAGAAGAAGTGTGATGATAGTAAACATTCTGTGGTATTTAGAAGAACTCATCCTTGAAAGGAATCCAACCAGTTTGAAGAAATATAGACCAGGGGGGTCGGGGTGGAAGGATATAGCGCCACTGACAATCTCTTACTGCTGTCTTACTAAAGTTTCCACAGACCCACAGTGCCCAATTCATGAATTTGGTCATGAGAAATCTCTTAAAGGCAGCAGAGCAGACTGTGGATATGTATGCATGTTTTAATCCCTAGATACTTTAACCCACAGTATTGAAATCCAGTAGCATCCCCTACATGGTTATAATTGACGTGCTCTGAATAACAAATGTCATAAACGGTCAGATCAACTTCATGGACTCAAAGCAGCATTAAGGAATAGAGATTACATATAGAAAGAAATCCCTTCATCCATCTTTATGCTGTCTTCACAGGCCCACTGCAGGAAGTTAGGGAGCAATGATCTTCTTGAAGAGCCCTAAGAATTAAGGCACCATCCTCCTAAAATCTACGCTTGACATATTAGTCTGAACACTGAATTCACATGGTATGATTAACTTGCACTGTGGATTTCTGATGAAGTTATGTTTCAAAAGGTATTCTTCCTAGGCCACAGGAATCCATAAAGAGATGCTCAACAAGGATAAGAGTTAGTGAGAAGCAAGCGAGCTAGAGGACGGGAAATAAAATCCAGTCTGAGAGCACTCTTACAGCAAGAATACAACCTCTGAGAATTTACTTCTATTTACTAATGTCTTAAGAAATCTAATGTAGCACCTGTGTGCCAAGGTAACACACAAGTATCTGAGTTGAGTGAGACTTTGGAAAATGTGCCTAAAACAGCATTGCAGTATGCACCCAGCAGCACTGCCATACTGTCTGACTATCTGGGAATCCATTTCTTTTCCAAAGGCATTTAGGATTCAGAAACTGGATACCGCTGTATTTGCACTTAGGCATTTATAACATACACCAACAGCACTGACATATTTTTAAAAAACCCTAAATGACAAGCCTCCCTCTCCCCAAAAATCTCAAGTTATCCACATGAGGAGGCAGAGATGGGGCCATCTAAATCCCTTGTATATGACAGGAAGGATGATCCTGGTTTTGACTGAGAAGTCCTCTTATTCTAGCAATGGTATGTTTTGGTCACACTCATATTGGGCCTGAAAGTTGAAGGCAAAGGATACTTTTGGCCATTATCCCCATATCTCCCTGAAAACATAACACAGGACCACAATGATCACATTGGAAAAAATGGTAAAGGCACCATGGCAGTTTCCACTTTTTATGAGGTAGTGTAATCTTTTTCAGAGAAAGAGGAGGAGGAGTTACTCTTGACCACTGCTCCTGAAGATCCTGGATCTAGGAAAGGACTGCTGAAGAAGGCATGCAATTAAGATGCTGTATGAATGGAGAAAAATACAGGAAGTGCAAGCAGAGTTGATGGGGTTTCCAGGCCCATTTAAACTATGAAGAGAGTCCATAACAAATATCAATTCCAAAGAAAGACAGATAACTTGGGGCATGACAAACAGGAACAGAAACACTGAAACCAAAGGCCAGGATAACACATGCTTTGTAGACCTACACCTCAGTCAATGACTGCTGAGGCCTCTTGTTCTCATGCTTCCTTGCTGGCACTGGTCCTACATTCAGCTGTTTGAAAGAAACTTTTTGGGATCTTGTGATTTTCAAAAGCGCTACATGAAAAGACAGTATTTTTATTTTTATAATCAGCTCCAGAACTGAGCCTTTCCTCTAGACCAAGTTCTAAACTGCATCTCCAAGCTCCCCTTCTCCAGAGCAGTCTCTGTGAGGAGCAGTCCTTCCACTTGGGAACTCCAGAGCCAACGACAAACTCACCGACTTTGTCATACGGGGTCTCTACAAAGCCTTATCTGTGTTCTAGCTCAGGAGATGAGGGACCTTCAAATACCGTATGTCCTAGAACAAAGACACCCAAAGGACATAGAGTAGGAACTTAGCATGCTATGTGCTAGGCTGGCCACAGCTTAAATACCAAAGTTAAGGGGAAGGATGCTGTAAGACTGACTTAATAATCATATAGTTTTGCATTAAGAAAAATAAAATAAAGAATGATTTCCCACTAAGACCAGGGATTTCAGACAATAACAAGAACCCTAGATGGCAAAGGATCTGCCCAGTGAGGAGAGGCCAAGCCCTTGCCACATAAAACACACACACAGAAGAGTAACCTCAAAGAACTCTGCCAAAAAATAGAATAAAGGTATACAAGAAGGAAAAACAGGAATAAGAGAAAATCTCTCAGAGGATTTTCCATTTAAAAAAAAAAAGTCTGAGGTAAACGGAAGTGTGGTGGCAAAAGGAGAAAATGATGCTCCATTTAGAGTTTAGCGTGGTTGTACCAGCTCAGAGCAGGACTGCACATGGCCTCATATCCCCTCTCAAACAGGGGCCCACACAGATGCTTAGGAAACAGTAAGGAAGCAAGCATATGTGATACTTCCTCAAGTACTCTCCTACTCTCCAACTTTTTCAACTCAAGAATGTCCTGAGTTTGATTTGATTATTTGTGGCAGGGCGAGCAGAAGGGGTGTCTGTCTATTCAATAATATCAGAGTTTCTCAAGGCTTTCTTTGCCTAGATCTTTACTGGTGATGTTTGCCTTCAGGAATCCTAAAACTCCAGTAAGTCTAAGTACTGTTCTGTCATACTTCTTCCCTTGAAGCCACTTTAAATGAAGTCTGCTGCTGACTGTAGTGTTTGGAAAAAAATATTCTTAGGAAAAATATCCATCAGTAAAGGAAGAATAGTTTTGCACAGGCTTACAGCGCAAAGTTTACAGACCACTCCCGTATCTTCTGAAAACACCTCTTTTTATGAAGTGAAATATGTTTTCTTGAATGCAGGTGATACAGAATATTTCATATCCACATTTACCCCTCCCCCCAAAACATAAAGAAGGAATAATTTTGAAAACATTTTGGTGAACTGATCTGAAACTTTTATTCGCTTCTTTCTTCTTGTGTTTCCTATGACAAAGCTAAGTAGAAAACATGAAAGCTAAACATACCCATGCTCTGATTCTCATCATCTTGGTCAATGAAGACATGGTCCATCACAAAACTGAGAAGTTCTGACTGGAGGCCTGAATCTGGATTAAACACCAAAGGCTGAAGACCTTCTCGACCTCCAGTCATCAGCTGATGACTAAAAATCATCAAGAGATCGCAAAGCAGCATGAAAGCCTGAAAGGCAAGAGATAAATGCAGTCAGAAGCATAAGTCAAACAAGTAAAAAATAAAATACCCTCTATCTAATTTCCAGACATTCCCCCGGTATTAGTTATGAAACGTCCTCCTTTAGCTGTTCATAGTCGTAGTAGTTTGCATGCTGTGAAAAGTGTCCATGAAAGTTTCCCTAAGCTACAAAATGTTATATCTTTCATTCCTATAGAAGGAACTGTGTTTACTGCCTCTTCAATGTCCAGGATGACCCATATTAAACTTCCATTTCTTTTCTATGGAAAGACTTCTGAATTTACCTCAGCTCCAAGGAATGGAGTCAAGAAAAACTACCTCTCTAGAAGAAGTTAGAAAAGTTAAACTGGCAAAAAAATTGAATTACGAGGGAATTGAATTATGAGGAAAAAGCCAAGCTGAGTCACTGTCATATCCTGAAAGCACAGAGAAGCAGCTATAACCAAAGAACTCCTTGCAGAATCTCAGCAACAATTCTCTGCAAAAGTAACGGAGTAATTCTACACAGCCTTCAAGTCTAAATAAAAATCGACACGGGCAGACTTTTCAAAGATGTATGCATGCTCCTGTTATACCCTTATTACTGGGAAAAGTGAAAGGAAGGTAGATATTAATAACTTTATTTCCTTCAAGGGGTTATCTGTATACTCTCATGCATGAGAGTAACACTGTTTTCCCTGGTGGCTTATGTCAGAGGCTCACAGCCAGCTGTGTTCATCTGCATTACATTCAACACCTAATAGTCTTTCAGAAAGTGCTTCTTTAATCACCCTAGTTTCTTTGTCTCTAACCTCAGGTTCTGAAAGTGGAGGGGAGGAAGCCTCAAAGTCCGAATCGCTGGAAAGTGCTGCCTCTTGCCCTGGGAGCCCGCAGGAGCCCCACTCAGGGCACTGTCAATCACAACTCCCAGGTAGGTGGTAGGCCAAAGGGGTTGGCAACTGAAGAGAGACTATAAAATAGCTCTGCCAGATACGTGAAATCCAGGGCTTCAATTCACCATTATAGTCCTACTCTATAAACAGATGGATTCATCTTTTATTAACTCTCATTGATTTATATTTTAGAGCGTCCTTAGATTAAGTGCTCTGGTGAACGAAAAGGTAATTAACTGTGTGTTTAAACATATTCTTGAACCGAGGCCTAGTGAAAAGTGAGTGAGACCGATCTGCTTTACAAACCTCCAAAGCAAAATCTGTGTGTTGAATGTCATAGCAGATCACTTATCTTTTGGAGTGTGTTATTAAATTAGAACGAGCTATGACTTGGACGAGAACAAAATGCTAATCACTTTAAACCATGACCTACTTAGACTTTGAAGACTGGTGCCAGTATTTGGGATTTTTCTCCTTAGAAACCAAAAAGATGGGATTCATCTCAGTGAAAGTAGATGATCGCATCTGCACAGGCATCCTAAACTCCTTTTATATTCGCTAGAATTTAAGGTGTGATTAGAAACATCCTAGTGTAGACCTCTAAAAAAGAGCATATGAATTATGCTCTGAAAACGTCTATTTCCGTCCAGTAGAGAGACAGCAATGGGCTGAGATAAGGACATGCCCATATTGTGGACGCATCTAGTCACAGGAGATTTATCGCACTCAAATAGTCTAGGAGACACCTCAGAGTCTTTACAAAATACATGGAGATCTCAGAGACTTTAATATTTATATTTACCACTTTTGGAACACAGTGGAAGTTCCAAGCAGAGCTTTCTTTCAAAAAAACACAACTACCTTTTAAAAAGTATTCTCTTTTAAAAAACGCTGGCAAACAGCTCTGTGCCAGTTAGCTTGTTACAGTCTTTGCAAAATATTGGAAGGGCTGATAGAGAAATGCAATTTGTAAACAGCTAAAAGATGTCAACAGATCTTATATAAAATATATTCATAAAATATCAGCAAACAAACCTCCTGTTGTTTTTTCAGAGAATACAAATTATTTCAACATGCCTTTGGATTTCATTTTTTACATTACAATTTCTAAATACATATAACAGAAGCTTTCCGCTCCATGCAGTTTGGCTTCCCAAAAATCTAGAACAGAGTATTGGTTAACTGTTGGTTAACTGAACCAAAAGAAATCTGATTCCTACTGAGGTGGGCATATTTCACATACATACTTTTGGCACATGTGTGCACACATATATGCATGCAGAGAGATGCACGCTTTAGCCTATTAGTCGATAGGGAAGCATAGCAACCTAAGCGATAACGACTAAATTGATGAGAACTGGAAAAAAACCTCCAGAGCTTGATATCTGCATAATGAAGGCAGTGCGTAAATGAATACTTTACTCTGATTCTTCAAGGAGACCTAACTGTTTGTCGAAGGACAACTTTTGTGTATCGCCAGAGGACACTGCATTCCTAGTTGTTTTGCAGAGTATCTTTGTATAATTAATTAGCATTTCTTCTGCTAGGAAATATACAGTAGTATGACTTGTACTGCTGGAAGCCTTAAATTTCTCCCATTAGCCACCCATGGGAAACAGAGCCATAATATTTGCTAGAGACATAGTATTTGCTACCATATTTAACGGAGTTATTAGGATAACGACATACGAAATAGCATCATGGCTTAGATTTATCTGATCTAGCTTCTGGCATTTAACCTTGACAGGAAAGCAAGGACACTAGCCTCCTTAACAGTCACTATTAGGGAAAAGGCCTCATACATATACAGAGAGAGATTCAGGCCATCTACGGTCTGAATTATCCTCTAAAAGTGCCTATTTCTATCTATTAATATAATAACAGTCTAAAGAAATAGGCTTATATTTAAGGTGATTCAACTAGATGCCCGAACTTATGACAGCTGAATATAGGTCTTTGATTATGTTATATCAAAAATGAATTTGACATTAACCGCACTTTGAAGGTGCTTTTAATATAGCTTCTTTAATGGAATATTTGTTCAAGTTTTATTTAGACAGAAGGCACACACAATTTTACTGCAAGTTCAGTATAGTAAGTGTCTGAGTTTTACTAAAGTTTCATATTCACACTTTTACAAAAGCTTGTGACCATCATTTCCTTTACCTGTTCTTTGACTGGAGTGTTGACATTTGACAGACACTGCTGGCAGACGGCCAGAAAGGATTTCACAGTTTTCCTCAATACCAACAAGTCCTCCTGGAATAAACATGAAAAAGGGATACAATTTCAATATTAATAAGAGGTTGCTAGGAAAAAGCAAAATAAAAAGATGGTGATAATTTCACACATTCAATCCTATAAGCTAGCCAAACAAAAATGAAAAGGCAGTGAAAAATCTTCCTAAAATGAGTCATTGCTTTTCAGAGGAATGGCCCAAGGTTTTCCTGTAGTAAATAATAATAATAAAGCAATACATTCATGAGTTAAAATTATCTATTTATTAAATTAGATGTGAATTATAAATGTTTCAGAACAAAAAGTTTAATACAACAAACTGCTTGGTGATTTATAAAGAATTCTGTATGCAGATAAACCAAAACAACCAAAAAAGTAAAATACCGATGAATGTCTCAAGTTCAATCAAAGCATCATCCTAACTGTCTGCACAGAGGGGAGATATGAAGGCAAATCACAGAAATCTCAGAAATCTAATGACTTACAGGAGAAGGAGGGAGGTTTGCTGATCTGAAGAAGGAAGGATTTTTAGGGGGGAAAGATAAATGAATGACTCTTTTTGGTCACCTGGATCTGAGAGAAAATCAACAAGTATTGTAAACGTGGGTACCAGAACTGGCAGCTTCAAGAGGAACGCTGTGTACTTTGACCTGGAAGAATTAATGCTCTACCATGCTGAATACTTATTTTCTAAGGGTAACAAAGTAAATATGTAAACTGTGGAAACAAATCAAAATAAAACATAAGATACTGGAGCATAATCATGAGAATACAACAAATAGCCACATGGAAGCAGGAAATCAATTACAGAAGAAAAGGAACCTTCCTGTGTGAAAAGCTGTGGCTGCCTCTACCTCATGACCCAGGAACTTGTTGAAAATGTACGTGGCTTCTTGGCCGTTCTTAGTTATTTTGTTTACATGAGGACCAAACCAAACACGGAGAAGAAAATGAGAACCACAGATCATTAGGACTTTGAGATAGCTTCAAGTTTTGTCAGTAGGACTATCTTTGCCAGCATCGATTTATGTATCCCGCACTTCCGTATCGCTCAGGCGATGCAAATAAGTGGTTCTGCCCTGTGTGCTCCTGCCCCGAGTCCCGAAGTACCTGCAGCAGCCATGCGTCTCCCAGCATCCAGCCCTGCTGCTCTCCCACCGGCATCCCAGCCAGCGCCCCATGGGGAAGGCAACATTTCCATCATAGGCCTGGGGCCACCGCTTAAAAGATCTTTCCCAGTTTCCACAGTAACAGGTTTTGTGCCAAGAAGGGATCATTATGCCCTTAAACCGCACATGGAGGCAGGCTGCCTACCCACTACTGCCCACCTCCCCTCCATGGTGCCTCTATCAACTTTTTGATGACAGACAGCGTCCTACAGAATGACCTCCAACCTAAATCTAAAGAATCTACATGGTGTATCTGCAACATTTTCCTCACTAAACTATTCCAATGTTTAATTATGCTGGCTGCTCGATGCAAGTGTCTCATTTCTAGTTTTAGCTTTTTTACTGCTTCCTATCATAAGATCTTGTTATTCTTTGTTTACAGAATAAGCCTTTTCGTGGTCCTTATGTTCTGCCTGTACTGGTTCACAACAGAAGGCATCTCTGCAAGTATGCTGAAACACCCCAAGTATTCCTAGATCTCTGAACCTCTTACAAATTGATTTTTTTTTTTTTAGACTAAGCGTGGTTTTCTGACCTGGACAGTATTTCAGCCACAATCTTAAGCTCTGTGAGCTCTATCACCTTCTTATTCCTACTCAATTTACTCTGTTAATATAGCCAAAGATCATCATAGCCCTTTGTGCCACTGCATTACACTGCAATTACATGATCAGTAAAATTGCTACAGTGATCCCTTTCATCAGCTCTCTCCTGAGACACAATTTCCCAGCGATCAGCATCCTTGTTCCCAGATGTAAGTCTTCTATTTGGCTGCATTAAAATGCTTCTTTTTTTTTTTTTAAACTGCATATTGTTTATCAAGTGATCTATGCTGTCCACAATTGATCATTATTAATTTCTAGAACATTTTCTAAATAATTTCACTTTATCCTCCCTGATCATGGGCAAAAACAATGATCAGTTCTGAGAGGAGAACAGATCCCTCCTGGAACGCATCCGAAGCCGTTCCATTGCATGATGATTTCCCACTTGTATTTTTCCTCTAATAAATTACCCAGCTTTGAGCTACTGAATATGAATTTTATTAAATTCACATATTTAAATATTTAATTGAAATGCAATATGATACTAAGGTCTTACACAAATTGGTATGTCAAAGTAGTATCTTTTTCAGCCAAAAAAGCTACCTTCTCAAGAATGAGTTTATTTTTTCCTTGATGTCTTATTTGTTGGTCATGTTTTTTCTGTCCTTCAGCCTTGTACTGACTGTGTTTTCTATCAGCCTTTCCGAGATTTTAGCTAGGATTGAGGCCAGGCTTATCCATTCACTGTTACATAATCATCTGATTTATACTTTTAAACATTGGTATTACAATTACTTTAATAACCTATTTTTAGAGCAATTATTTCTATATAGATGTTAATGAATTCAATAGAGAAACTAAAATCTACAAAGAAATCCTATAAAAAGGTTAGAAAGTGAATGAGTATGTCTCCCATCTTTCTTTCTGTCTAAGAATGAATAACACCTAGGTATAAAGTTACTGATTATGATCTTCTCACTTGATAGCATTATAAATGTTAAATTTTGAAAAGTTATAGACAGCTCTGTTTACCCTGGTAAATAGAGCAACAGAGCCATCTGGAACTTTTCTACATTTGGAGAAATCCCCAGAATACTGTAGAGTGGTAATTTTTTTTTTTTTTTTTTACAAGAATAGAAAAAAAAATGAATTCGTTTTTTCGTCTTTTACCATTCTCAGGTGCACAGCCAAGGCTTTTGAAGTGTCCTTACATGATATGCTGGCTTCAGCTGAAAAACTGCTATAAAAAAATTCACCGTCTTTTTGGTTGTGAAGGTAAAACTGGGGTGTCGTACTGTGAACTGGATCACTGAACTGAGCCAGGTTAAAAATAACCCGTACTTAAGCTGTACAGCATAATATCTTAATGCATAACTAGTGCAAGTCAGTAACAAGAATGGGCAGCTAAGAGGCAAGAGCTTGCACTGGCTTTGGCAGCAACTGCAACTGAACAATAGCATTTGCGCGACTCCTGTCTAACCTCCTGTTCCATTATGGAGCTTGTTTTCCACTGAAGCCACGTAGAAATCCTGTGCTTCTGCAAAGATGGCTTCCCGAGCCCAGAGGCTTTTATTTGTATTTTTCCATTGTCCTTCCTCTAAACTACTTATTTGCAGCATTAACTTCCTTCTTGCAACTCCAGCTTTTTGACAAACTTCACGATGTTCAAGAGCCATTTCAACTCGACTGCGGAACACAACCCAGCTTTTTGTGTCTTGTGATCCTTTGCTTCCCCATCAGCATTCTGTGCTTTCTTTCATTGTGCCTCTATACATATGAAAAGTCACCAGGCCATTACATTGCTCTTTAAATCCCTCTTTAAATTTCCTCTACTAATTCCTCTGCCTACTAATCACTTCACGATAACGATGCCTTTGGCTGGGCTGGTTGCTGCTCATTCAGAACTCTTTCACCTTTGCCGTGCCTCTGAATGCTCGCTCCATCCACGTCTTTGGGCTAAGATGTTGGACTAAGGTCTTCTCCATATATTTCTTTTCAATTGTACACATGTACAGTGCATTGTATAATGGGCTCAGGCACCTGGCTTGTTGAGCACATGCAAAAATCTAGATGGAAAAAACTACTGTATAATCTAACCCCCAAATCTCCTATCTCAAGACTGTATTTTTGCCCCCCAGCTATATGGACAAGAGAGCTCTTGCTGAGAAATTGTCAGCTTCCTTTGAAGACAACCTCAAGGCCCTTTTCACCCGAACAGCAGGTTTTCTCTAGGATGCAACAGATTGCTTCCAGAAACTACACAGTATAAACCACTTCACCCCAGTCCTGTGCTATTTATCACAAACAGCACAGGTCTGTTTACCAACAACCCACTTACGGATGGCCTCACAACCTGCCATGAACATTTACAACAAGATGACCAATGGTTAGTGCATCGGACTATGGCTATTTCAAGGGTCATCCATTTCATCCTTACCTGCCACAACTTTACTTTCAGTAACTAATGCGTCCTTTCACATTTTAGGTGCTAAGATGACTCCACAATGTGCCATTTTTTTCATAGGCCATCTTTAAGAAGAGTTTTAAAATAACTGTTCCCCAACTCTATGCTTTACTTAAGATAGCTAGTGGCATCTTTGTCATTTGGCAGAGAACCTGGACTTTCTTACTAAATCAAATAATCATCCTTCTATCAAAATGTCTCTGAAATATTTTTATATGAACATTACTTAAGCGCTACAGTCAATGTAAGTCATAATCTACAAGCGCTGTTATGCAGCGTGGGGGAATCCCCAGAGCCTCCTCTTACTAACATGGCCTGGATAACAACAGCTGACATGATGAGTGCAGGTTAATTACGTGTCATTAATGAGTCGATAAGCCGCCCTGATCCGAATGTGATTTAAACCACGCGAGTGGAGCAATTTTTCCCTGTGACACATGTAAGGCCTACAGACCAACACAACTAGCATCACGAACAGTCAGCTGTAATCCAAAACGCGCCCAACAGCTGTACTATATAGAATCACACGGGGAACACTAAATGTGTCCTGAGCGCAGGCATGATGCCCACTGTGGTAATCTAAACAGGGCAGTTTCCAGACAAGGGCAATCCTCTTGGGAGAAAGATTCCTGTTTTTCCCATCTAGAGAAAGAATAACTTCATTCCTAAAAAGATTCTGCTCCCAATGGTACATCGCTGGATGTCACATATAACTCTTCCTCAGAACCAATACACAAAATCATTAGGCAATTATATGCTGTACTAGAAGAAGATACCACTTTGAAAGAAATCTTACCAGCATCCCCCATCCTACCCTTCAAATAGCCTCCCACATTCAAAGAACTTAATGTCAGAAGCAAACTCCCTGTAGTACAAAATAAACCTATGCAGAGCATAGCTGATTAAGAAATGTAAAACTTGCCAATATATTTCCACTACTACCAAAATAAATACTTCCTCCCACGGAAACGTTAACACTCTTGAATCCTGTACTCCCAATTCCAAAATTTTAATATACTTTATCTGTGCACTAAATGCCTACACGGTAACTGCGTAGGCGAAACAGAGTAACTACTATTTGCCAGCATGAACTCATACATATGACCCAGCTGGCAGTGGATGAACATTTAGAAATCAATCACTGTCTCTCTGATGTCTCAGTCTGGCTGCTCAAGGGAAATCTAAAAATCACCTTCTAAACATAAGCCTTGGGGGAAAAAAATCATAAATGTACTGGATACAGAAAAACAAGGACTCAGAGAGATTAGTTTTATGGCTTGTTATACATTCCCTTCTCCACATTAACCTTTTCATCTTTCATCCATCTTCCTTCCCCTCCCTGGTATCCACCCTCCTACTCACCTCCTGCGTTTTGCTACCCCTCCTTTCCCCCCACCCCCATGGGTACCAATAACCTGTTCCTTTTCTTTCAGAGACAGCTTACCTGATCTGCACCTAAATCGATTCTAAGCAATGGTTTGCAGCTTGTAATTTGCTTTGTAATCTTCGGCTTGTATTTCAGACCTGAAGGGCTTGTGTGCCCAAAAGCCTGTCTGATTTTTACAACTCTATCTATTGGTCTATTAGAGATACCACTTCGGCCTACAAACCATCGCCTTTGTACGTCCTCAGATAATCACAACTACAGCAAAGTACCACTGGAAAGATGGATGGACCTACATATCAAAATACGGTGTCAGAACTGTTGCTGTAAGAGCCTCAATGTCTCAAAAATGCTACTGAAATACACTGTTCTCCTTTGTGAGGTACTCTCATTAATAACTTTACCTTACCCATACATCATACATCTGAAGTCATTCCATAGGAGTGCCTGCCTAATTCTTAAGCTTAGCTCATGGCAAACAACTATGGGCAAAATGATCTCCTAAAGAATTAAAAACAGATATAGACTGGATTTATGTTCACAGTCAACAAACTAAAACAGAAATTTTGACAGAAAAACACACAGAAGAAAATGCTACAACCACATCAGGTTCATAGGATTTCTCTTTATCCTGTTTCTATTGTGGGAAAAGCTGGGGCTTCTGGCCAGCTATGAAGAACTGAGGGGCATTAATGCAGTGCTCCTCTTGAACTAAACAATCAGAAGACTGAATATTTTTGTGGGAGGTGGAGGTGAAACCCCAAAATTAAAATAGTAAAAGGTCTATAGGCTATAATAATCATGATCTTTATCAGAGATTACAGAAGCAGAGCCGACTTGTACTTCAAATGGTCTTTCATATTTCTTTCCGTTTCTATGATCTATAGAATGAGTAATATGAATTAGAATATTATAAGAAATATATGAAAGCGCAAGGCTATTATGCACTCATCTCACATGACAATGTATCACAGATATGTATCCTGTTTTGAAAAAGTAGGCTAAAACACACAACTGCACTGAGCTTGCCTCCAAGAAAACCCCAGTAACTGGAATAAATAAAGGGCTCTTTCTCTTTCAGTTTAACTTGACCATCATGTTAACATTGCAAACAACAGTCCACATACTTTGGCTCCAAAATGCAAGCCTCCCGACCAGGTCCTGCGCAGACCGACACCGTATGTGTTGGCCGCTAGCTCTATTTTAGGGTAAGTATGTTTCCTTTGCTATAATTAGACACAAGAAAACATGAAACTTTTCTTCCAGCAATGCTGACAGCTGTCAATCAGCACCATTTCTGTTGTACTGCAGCATCTTACTGTGCTTAATTCAAAAAAAAAAAAAAAAAAGAGAAAAGCAATAAAGGGAGATAAGACTCTTACTCAGTGCTCTGCGTATATGTGTATGCACCCAGAGCAGGGCACGACGGGACATCGCTGCTCACGGGGCCTCACAAGCAGGAGGACAGAGTTACTGGACACCTTCAGCAGTGGAGAAGCTGCCTAGCAATTCCCCAGCAGAGCATGTGGGGAGAACTTTAACAAAGCAGTTGAAGGCAGTGTCTCGGCTTGGCTAATTTGTTGCATCCGCTCAAAGTGCTTGGTTCCCCATACCCAAATCACTCGGTACACAGGTGATCAGCAACCCAGTTCTCCTTACTAGGGAAGCCTTAGATTTGGTGTGCTCGTTTTATGGACTTAAGGGTGGAAGGAAGGTGGAAGCCTCCTGAATTGACTTTAACTTATTTAGTTCTTTCGGTCAAAGTGGAATTTTCTCCCCAAGGACAGCAATACTGCTAGTCAGAAAGACTTCAGATTCTTTGACTGTGATAAGATTCTGAGTTCATTTAAAATAAACTGGATGCAAGGAGTCCAGATGTGCTACTGTACACTACCAGCAGGCTAAAGAGACAGAGCAAACACCTCTGAAAAGACAAGCGAGGGCAGTGTGAAGGAAAGCCTGAATAAAGAATAACAATGGATGGTTCTTATTTTCCACTAGCTATTTTTAAATATCAAATACATCAATATTCCAGAAAACTATTTACAATGCATTTTGCCATTTTTATGTACATTAAGTGCTTATTTTTATAGTACTTTACTTTTTTTGAAGCTGATGGGGAAGTACACATACTATTTCTGTTTTCATTGAGCTTTGATTTGATGCAGTACTTTCAAAATAGTCCTTAAAAGATATAATTTTGCCCCGTGATTGAGAAAAAGCTAAGAAAAGGCCCAGGAAAGGCTAAATATAATAAATTAGTTACATGTAATATTGTCCTTACCGCATTACAATTGCACGCGCTTACTTTTCATTAGTCACTGATAGCAACCTTACCTTTATATTTAGCAACATAAAAATGTCAGTAAAAGGTAAACACAGTAAACATGCATAAATATTAAGCTATCCACAGTGCACAAATCAACAGTATTGCTTGCAACTATTCGGTAAGCATTGTCAACATTACTTAACCATGCAAACTGCTGTACTCGCAACAAAACACATTAAGTATCTTCAGCAATAAAAACATAAAAATCAGCTAGTGTTAAATCCCGATACAGACAAGCTTTCACTGTTGTTCGTATAGCTTACTGAGGCAAATTCATGATGATAAAGAGATCTTAAAAATATTCAATAAATGAAACACCAACATTTTATATCTCCTTCACATTGGTATAAAATGACTGTACACTGGGTGAAGTGATAGAGAATCGGGTTTAACGCATATTTAGGCAAGTTCTGTCTCGCCAGTCAAACCTGTAGTGTTGGAATCCCTACTTACTTTGGAAGGGGAGCCTTCAGTGATTTTCACCAGCTGCCAGAGAATAGAGTAATGGGAACACTGCAGTGCCTGGACAACTATCTGTAACAGAGGGAACACAAAGAATCGCAGCACACCGGAAACATCAAGCACGTCACTAAAAGGTATGTAAAATTTATGATGCGTTTTGGGGAGAAAAAACAGGAACAGCTCTTCAACAGTACTTTTCGTTTTGAAGGATACGGTGTTATCCCTTAGTATGGGGCAGTAAGGAACCAGTGTACTATTGATGAAAAAATACTGTGTGTATATGCTCAGAAGCAAAACAAAGCAGAAAACTGTATTAGAATATAGTAAAAGATGATGGCACAACAGGAGAGAAGGAAAACCCAGCATCTGTGTATCTCTGTTTAAATACCTCTACACTGTAATTTGCTAATAAAAGAATCAGGATTTCTGTGCCATTATCAAATGAACATGTAGCCCAACTTCTAAAAAAAAGGAGAACATTCAAATTTTCTCATGAAGAAGACAGGGCTAATATTTGTGACACCCATAAAAGCATTCAGTGGTGCTTTTTTTAAATTTCAAATGCATATTAGATGTTAAAAATTTAGATTATGACCTCCTGGCAAAATCTTTTTGGCTTAAAGATGCTTCTAATAGTTTGTAGATCTATGTGGACCTGACCTGAAGTTAGGTTTGTAACAGATCCAACCACTTCACAAAATACTTGTTTTTGTAAAGATGCTGCTAAAGGCCAAACTATTCCCTTTCAGCAAACATACTGAGGAGTCTTCAGCTTTTGGAACTTTTCTCCTAAGACCTTGCAAAACTGTTTGGGGAACCGTATCACTACCAAATCCAGAAGCTGAAAAGACGGCTGCTAGAAAATGCCTTATCTAGCACAACACCCTGCACCCCATGTCTCCCCTACGATCCTTTCCAGAAGACATTTTTACAGAATTTCTTGAGAGAAGAATTCTTTCCTAAATGAAACCAGGTTAGAATTAACAGCTGGCTTCTAATTCAAACCAACTTCTAACTTAAAATATGCTGAAAACTGGAGTAGGCAGTTTACATTTGAAACTGCAGGTGCATTCTGGGAGAATCAGAAATGGTCCCTGTGCTCATCCATGAGAAGACCAGAACAAAATTAGGAGGCAAAAGGTCTAAGATTAACGTCCACTAAAAGAGCTCCACTGGAAAAGCTGGCCAACATCCCTGCTATAGGTTTTTCTTAGTTCTTGGTTTTCATAAGCATCCATCTTACCTTCAGTACAAAATAATTGTGATAATTCCAACTGTAGACAAGTTCTGTAAATACTGGGTGTCAGCATAAACATCCTCACTTATGCAGTACAGCCAGGACCATAACTTTTTCTTTATTTTACAGAAGAGAAAGGTGAGGCAAGTAGCTTGGTCAAAATCACAGAGAGTAAAAGCAGAAACAGGAGCAGAATCCAAGATTTTTCACCTCTTGGGTGGCACTTCACTACAATAGTAATTTCATTCAAGACCCCCTAAATAACTGAAGTGTAGTGAGCTCTCTCTTAAAAAAAAAAAACAAAACAAAAAAACCCAGTTCTTTAAAACTTGAGTCCCCAGGTGATGCAATGCACGCACGGCTAACTGTACCTGTTCCGGCATAGCTCCGTGTTCAATTCCAGTTCTCAGTAATCTGTAGCAGTTACTGAACAGATCCCATTTGGTGAGATCATGAGCGCTAGAATGAGAAGTAATAAAGAGAGATGAGTTGTGTTCCTCAAAACTCCAAATCACAGCAAGAATATAGTCTTTGCGCTGGCAGCTCAGTGCATTTTTGCAATCCTGAGACAACAGCGTGTGCTGCAAGGCAGCTACGCAAGTAGCTCCCACCATGTTAAACGCAAAAGTTATGCTTTTTGATAACAGAGCAAAAATATTTTACTACATGAGATTTTTGTAACAAGGAGATAAACTCGATGCATAGCACAGATCTGTAAAAGGTTGCTTAAGGGTAGTTACTAGCTCCTTCTCAGTGTTGCCTCTAAATCAGCTCCCCTTTTTGGCTCCATATATATCGACAGAGCTTCCAAAGGCATTTCCCTGGCATCGTAGCAGAACTATGACTGAACTCCAACAATAGATATTGAGTGGAAAAACTGCTTTAAGCAAAATAGATTTACATAATTTCTGCCTTATTAGTTGGAGTAAAATAATATACGTTATCACTAAATATTAACTATCTTAATATTTCTAAAGTAAGACAGCATGATATGCAGGTATATGAGATGAATGGTAGCAACTGCCCCCCCCCCAGCGTTTCACAATGAAGTTATACTAATCTGATTCTCTAGCGAGATGAATATATTTGCAACATATATTCTGCAGTCTTATAGATCTCAACAGCTTAAGTTATAGCTTCATTTATACAGAACTGACAACTATTGAATAAATTATAAAACATGAGGTCGCCCGAAAGACAGGAATTCTATTCCACAGAAAAATTTGTTTAACATTTTTTTCCCATTCTGCAGTGGGATTAAACTGAGGTCCTTTGAAATTATTTATAAACATATACAAAAGGGCAAGCCACCTCAGAATCATCAGACATTTGGTGATAAGGATACTCACCTAGAATGAGAAGGGATGCTCAGACTGAATTGGCAAGTTAAATCAAATAAAGCAGTCTCTTGCATCTGACTCGCTTTCATCTGAGCACCTTGACTGCCAAGATACGCTCACTTTCCCACCCCTTTGCTCCTGCCCTGCATTGGAGCTGTCTGACTCTGTTTAACTACCTTGCTCAGCCATAGAGAATAATTCTCTATTTCTGAGACAGACAGGGGTTGAACTCAAGACTAGCAATGCCTAGATCCCACTGAAATCCCTATTATGAAATGCTTTCTAGTCTGGAGTGTGTTAGCCTCACTACCTGTGAGGAAAACCTCACAGGTAAAAGTTTTGCAGAAAACATAACAATTAATGCCCTTACGCTGAAAGCAAGTGAAGTATGCACGCTAAGCTTGTGCCATCAAGCCAAGGTACATCCCGACTTCTAATTAAAATCCATGAATAGAAGAAGAACAGGTTGGAAATCTTAAAAAAAAAAAACAAAACAAAACTTTTTTTTTTTAAAGCAAACATACCTCCACACTTAAATTCTGGATGGTCATGGAAGTATGGAAATGAGAAGTTTTGTGGATAAATTATAGGCTCTCGGGGAGCTGCCTCTGACTACTAGTCACATTAGGCACACAGACCCTGCTCTGGCAAATCACAGAGCTGCTAGCAAGGCAGAGCTGCACCTCCTTAATTATAGCATTGTAATTAAAGCAGTAAAATCTCCTTGGTGTGCAGAGGCAGATATCGGCATAGATTATCCCACGGAGAACATGAAAGGAAAAACTGTCTTACCTCTGCCTTTTCATTTTAGACCCCTCCATGTCAGACAGCTGTCACCGTGGGGCATTCCCCCTGCCGTGACCGCTGGGGGCACCTTAGATCTTTGCTCTGAGCCTGGCCTTGGAAGCGTCCTCAGGAAGAGCTTTCCAAAGGGACAGCTTCCAAAGCTGAAAAATACCAACTACATACAAGTTTCATAGCGCTTTGCAGTATAAACTTCCTTTAAGATGAGCCTCCACATTAAATTTAGGGATAGTGTGGAACACCTGCGTCTCTTTGAACTACTTAACAATCAAAACAATAGCAAAAAAAAAGAAAAACGAAAAAAAAAAAGTTGGATGTAACACAATGCACCAGAGGTTCAGCTTGTCTGACGTAGAGATTCTTAGAATGAAAATTCATATTTAACAGAATTTTCCTTCTCTTGGTCCCTTCCATGTGAGAACGTCTTCACAGTGGACTACAGAAAACAAGGTCCAACATTTCACGAAAGGAGGATTCTTTTCACTGCTGTGGCTAGCACTGTTCAGTGGGGCACGTGTTTCTACCAGACACTATGCGTGCTGAGGTAAAGATATCCATTCCACAGTGTTTCTGGAAGTGTGGAAAGAAGTAGCCTAGAAAACTCCTTATAAAAAGGTGATCTCCACCCACAAAACCGCTTCCTTTTAGAAGATGCACATAGTGACCCGAGCTGTACCTTAGGCTTCGAACAGCTCCGCTAGATACAGTCTTGTTTCTCTACTGAGGTTTCATTTATCTTCATTCCTACTTCTTCAGGATGTAACAAACATCCAAATAACTTAAGTCTGAAGGAATCTGATACGATGTATTGGTCAACTACTGGAAAAAGGTTAAGGAAAGGGTTCATAAAAAAGGAAAGGAAGACCTGCCTGCCTGACCATGAATTTACCTGTTTTGGAAGTGTCCCGACTGACCATGCTTATACTGATAAAAACACGGCTCTTCTATCTGCAAAGTTACTCTAGCCATTGCCAGGCTTGTGAAGTCAGCGTGGAGACAGGGAGGGCTACAAGGCAGTGATAGTAACCACCCTGATTTCTAAATGTGAAACAATGCTGTATATACAGGACAGCATCAAAAAGGCACATCCAAAGTAAAGGAGCTGAGTATATGACTTGCATTCGATTAACTGGCGCAAGCGAGTAACAAAGTTTGATGTGCTGCAGCATACAAACTGACACAGCACCAGTGTGTTGCATGTGAAAGTTCAGCTGAGTTGGGCTGGACACACAGCATGGAAAGATTGTCTCCGTGAACATAAAACCATTGAACAGGTTCCACTGTTCCAGCATGTAAGATGACGGACCTCTTCTAACACTGTGAGTGATTTCATTAACATTTGATTTACTTTAATTTAATTAGGAGGAAAACTGGGCAGCAAATATGATCTACAGGATATCTGTCCTTATTTTCTAAGGATCAATTTTTTGAGCTAATTCATTCCCAAATGAAGATCTACCATGAGATGCCCCTCTCAGAGGATTAGAAAGAGGGAAACCTCAGTATGGAAGCTTTTGGGTCTGGACAACTTTTCTAACTAATCCCTGCCTTGTTTTTCCCAACTCCCTGGAAAAAAAGGTTAGGGTTCCTTTTTCCTAGAACATGAGGCAACAACTTCCAAGGAAACAGAAGCACAGATAAGGTAGTTTGAAGGTTCCCTTACTGCAAGAGGGGAGGGATTTGTTTCTTTTTGAAACCTCAGCAGCTGCTTTTTCACTGCACTGCCTGAAGATCTGACAGATATCAGTTGTCATCCTACAGTTTCAACGTCTACTATTGATTTAATTTCTTTTGGCTCCCAGCTGATTACAGACAAGTACAGTATCAGGCAACAGCTGCTGTTCTTTGAGAAGAGAATACTCAATGCAAGTTTGGATTGAAGATCTTAGCTAAAGGTTTGGTAAAATTCTGTCTCAGATGGTACGATCCCCCTTTAACAAAGACACCACAGCAGGCTTAACATTCAGTGGAGTAATGAAAAGGATTTCAGTCCTTATATGCAGATATGAATCAGAAATTCCCACTGCAATATAATCATAAGTCACAAATCAAATGATACACAGCTATTCTTCAGCTCCACAAGATTTGATTCTTTTCTCTTTCCTTTTTTTTGAAGGTGACGGGAGACGTCCTTGACCCTGATTTGTGTTTCATTCTACACAGCCTTGTCCAGAGTCTGAAATATCTCTATAGAGATTTGGAAGCCTAAAGGAAGAAAGTACATATGAGAGACTCTCCCAGGAAAGTCTTAAGATTTGTGCTGCTCTCCTGGATGTGAATTACAGCTTTCAGCAGTCCTGTCGGGGAAGGCAGGAGTAGCTCCCAAAGTGTTACCAGGGAGACTGAAAAACTACTTTGCACATGTATCGGCCTGCTTCACTGCAGAAATTAGTAACGATGTAATGAACTTTGTGGGATTGTTGTTGAATGGAAAGAAAGAAGAGATATTTCAGAACTACTTCATACAATGATCCAATACAAGATTTAGGATTAAGTGAGGACCAAGCACAGCACAGAGGGAGAAGTCAGTCACTAAAACCAAATATACTTATTGGTGGAGAAAAGGTTACAGAAGCAAGTACCTCTCACATCTTGTGGTAAGGAAGAAATGATTTGTGACTCTCAGCGGCATATGAAGCTTTCTTGCCTGCCGACCAAGAGCAATTACTTCCTACAGCTGATAGAGGAGGAACATAAGGTCTTTGTGTTATCCTCTGAAATTCAGGAGGTTCAAGTGAAAGGGTCCAGGTTGCTCTACAAGTTATGGGGTGCCTGTAGGTCTCTCAGAGAGCAGCAGGACCCAAAAAGCTTATGCCTGGTTCCTTTGCTCTGATGCACCCCATGGTTGGTGACAGGGGTTTCTGTGCAATCCACGCAGTTAAGACTTTGCCAACAACTCAGCTGAAAACTGTATTCCTGGCATTTCTGCAGGAAGAGAAACGCTGTCTTCCAAACTCTCATCATAAACTATTAATGATTATTATTACTACTACTCATTTTCATTATTCTGATGAGAAATATTTCAAAGGCATTCAGAAACTGAGAGAAACAACTTTTCCATGGCTTCCTAAGCTGAGGCTCAAAGCAAAGATGTGGTTTGCATCCATTGGCGGTAGAGATACCAATTGTCCCTTATGCACAGACTGTCTGACATGCAGGGGAATATAGGTGCAACACCCCTAGGTATAAAAGCATTTAGCAAGGGATGGTATGCAATATGCATTTTCGTAACAAATCAAGTCTGTAAAAGTAATAAGTCATTAACTAAGCAAGGTTGCAGACTAATCCAAATAGTAAATACTCACAATGCCATCAGGCATTCATCATTTATGTTTTAGACCATAAATTTTCTCATTTCCTAACGCTAGACATCAACTGATATTTGCTGAAATGATAAAATTATCATAGTAAATTTTCCAGGGAAAATCACATACTTGTGAAAAGAGGTTAATCTCTTTAACGTGGAGAGCACATTGTATATGTCATCGTCATCAGCTTCTTCTCCCTGAAAATGAAAGGAAATCCATGAAGAGCAAAATCCATGAACTGAGAGTACATTACTGCATAGGGAGGAGCTGACTCATTTGAAAGTTTATGTTGACGCCAAAACTGACTTCAAATGTTACAATTACTTTTATCTTGGTTTCATAATAATAATATTTAAATACCCACTGCATAGCACTAGAAAATAAGCAAGATTATCTGATAATATTCAGCAATATCACAGTAATAGTACTCAAACCAGTATCCTCTAGCAGTAGAAATCATTCCCCAAGAAAAAAAAAACCCGAGTTCTATCTCATTTTACAAAATTCTGAGTTTTATCTCTGCAATTTAACAATCAGCTGATGAACGAGCTACAAGAATAAACCCAAATGCTTCTCTTTTTCCTCATCAGAAAACTGCAGATGTCAATAGGAGGTTTTTACAATGATCAAAGGGAAAATTCCTTTCTTTTCATTTCCTTCATTGCTATTCAGTGTGTAACACGTTGTAATGCAAGACAGTCACATTGGGCAGTGTGACATATGTTCAGAACTGGCTGGCAAGGGGTTGTTTTTTTTTTTTTTTTAGATTTTACAAATCTGAGAGAATCACGAATCCAAGAGTAAACATTGCACAACTCAATCAAAACTTTTAATTTCAATGTAATATTTTTTGACATTTTAAAATGTCATTATCCTAAAATTTTATGCAAACCGAGCAAAAAATTATCCTAGTGAACCACTGGAAAGAAGACACTTCCAAAACTTCATTTTTTTCCAGGAACTTTCTGAAGTGGAAAATACACTTAAAGCAATTCTTCTCCATTTCATTTCATTTTGATCGATCAATTGCTTTCCAGCTAAAAGCCCAGGAATTGAACATTTCCTTGCCTTCAGATGCAACTGTCAATCAATGTTTCTCTCATTATCAACCTAGTAGGAAGCCTTAAAGCAGTGTGATGCTTGCTTGGGTACAGGTGTGTATGTCGCAGAATTTAAAATCTCTCTGTACTGATGAAATAGACTTAATAAAATTAATTGTTCCACAAAGCATCATCCAGTAAAGAAAATGAGAAAGGCCAAATTTTAAATTCCTTGCTATCTCACATTTTTTTCTTATTTTCGTCTCCCCATCCTTCTCCTTGTCATACGTCTGACCTCTGCCCTCCCTACTCCTTACGGCGCTAAAGCTCTTAATTCTTCATTTCTCATAGGACTCCCAGTCACGGCTTCTCTCTCAAATCCTCATCCATCTCTCATGCAGGTCCCCAAGCGAATACACACAAAGATCTTAAGCCCTTGCTCACATTTCTCTACCCCTCCCCAAAGCTGGCTGAAGGAAGGGGCTGCAGCAGAAGTATTTGCTACCACTGGCCCCCGCTCCTTCATCAGATCAGTCTTTGTCCAGTCATCTTAGTGCCTCCTTGAGGGCTTCTCTTGCTTGAGGGCTGCACAGAGAGAAGCAGCCTGCAAAGAGAAGGGAAGGGAAATGGAGTGGGAATAAGCCGTCATAGGCTTACCGACTCAACAGCAGTTCTAAGTTATAAAAGGAAAACTGCAGGAAAAAGCTTTCTCCTCGAGTGCATTTCTCCTGGGGAGAGTAGATGGAAGTGATTTATGAATCCTGGGATCCCACTACTCTCTCCTGATTCCCCTCGCGTAGAGGCGAGGTCAGAGCAGTGTCAGAAGGGAGAGGACAGTGCTGCAGGCCTGTACAGCGCACCTAAAGCACAGAGTGCATTTTCTGGATTCTCTCAACATTCATGTATCCATAGTCTAAAACACAACTGATCCTAAATGCATAAACTGGCATAACTGAACTGAAATATGGGCTGGGGGTGGAAGAGAGGCAGATTCCCAGTCTCCTTTCGTCTTTCACTGAGAAAGGCTGCTGAATACGGTATAGACAGGGATTGCAAGGTGGCAGAGGTGAAACTAGGACTGGATATCCTCAAATCAGAAAATCCAAGAACAAGATGACTGATGCTACAGGAAACCAAACTCAACACTAATGGGACTGCTGGTTTCCAAAAGGGTATTGACAGAAGGGATGACAGAAAAGGAGGCAGCAGAGCTAGAGGGCTGGTTCTTGTCTCTGGGCTCCTCTTCAAAGCTGCCGTGTAGAAAAGAATGGGTAAATCAGAGAAACGACACCTGCTATACAGCCACAGGAGTTTTAAGCGTTCCTGCAGTAGTTAACTGAATCTGGGATTGTGGTCGGAAACATTATTTGTGGGTGTCCCAGCAACTCTGTTAAATTGGTGAGTCTCTAGAGAGAACAAATACAGCACTTGCTTTGCAGGAGTTCAGAGAAAAAATTAGGGGAAAAAGCTCAAAGGAGGCATCCTCATAATATCCTAAGACAATGAGTATAACAAAGATGGCAAGTCAGTGCAAAGAATTAAGATTCTGCTTTCTTCTGGGTCTGATTCTTGGAAAAAAACATAGGCCATAAGCACTCTCTTTAATTGCCGGGCAAGACAGTATGAATGATATGCTTTGTGCTGGTCTGAGTTTGGTTGTGAAAACAGACGCTGAACTTAAGAGTCTCCAAGACATAGGTCTGGAGAAGGAGCCTCAGAGGAGCCTTGTCCCTTGTCTCTGTATAAGGAGCCAGAACGAGTCTCGGATGCAATGACAGCAAAAATGCGTGGACCTCACCAGAGCTCTAAAACCGCTGTGAGCGGGTACTAGTGGAAATGGTGAAGATCATTATTTGCAGTAATCACTTCCTGGGCATCTGTATGGAAAACTTGGCTCCTTCTGAATTGGGTCTTTGGGTTGGCAGTCCAACTTTGGCCCTTTTTGCTACCCAAGTCAGCAATAGATTCCCCAAGGTTTTCTTCTCAGAGCTGTTGCTCCTGTTGGCCAGACGCGAGGAACTGCAAAGAATCTAGGGCTATTAAAACAATACGAATACAAACTTCTCCCAGACAGCTAAGATACGTGATGTAGCACTAGTTGAAAAGATGCACTTGCCACAGACGGGCAGGGATGAAGCATACATTTTGGAATGTCACTTTTCAGGTTGTGCGCAGAAGTTACTGAAAAGCTACAGGCGAAATGGCAGACAGGTAGACAGTAAAGTGAGTATGTTCTACTAAAGATCATATAGTGGTGCGCTAAGTATTTACTTACTCTAAATTAACAAGGCATACATATAGTATGTATGTATGTGGCATATTACTTAAAGATAGAGAAAAGCTTCTTTTCTTTGATATTCAAGTATAAAATATAGACTGTGGCTTAACTTCCTATACATGGGCATCAAAAATTAAGTGCATGTGCCCGCGCATGATGAAACTATAGGAAGTGAAGAAAAAGACCTATGCAGCTGCTAAGTTATGCTTAAAAAGCATGAGAATTAAACAAGTTAAATAGTGCTAAAAAAATTTACATAAAGCAAGAAGAAATTCAGTAGTTTCTGTCCTCATTTAATGTATTCTGTCTCTTATGCATTTTAAAGGATAAATTCTTGAAAGTAAATCCCAGATACCCCCAGGTTTCAGACCTATATCTTTATTTGCCTCTTTCCAGAACTCTCTCAGTAAACAATTACAAACGTTTTACTGAATCTTCTCTTCCATTCAAGACATAACCCAGTCTTGATTCTGCTTCCAGCATATATCCATTTGGGACTACTAGAATCACCACCAGCATTAATGCAAATTCATCTTTCTCTACATTTTTCACCAGCTTTCACCCATTCATCCATTTCATTTCCTATGTGAACCGTCTAACTACTACACTAAATTTGCAGAAGCAGGATGGTGCTGTGGTCTTTGTTTTGCAGCATCAATGCTTTGCAGGCTTAATGGCTAGGCTAGGGGATTTTCTACATGGAGAAATAGCTGCAAATAATTAGGAAATAGTTGTTGCTGCACTAAGTCGTCACATGGATAATTTCATGATGCAGTAAGAATGTTTTTCTGTGGTCTACCATAGTCTATTTTACATAATCTAAATTCATTTTAAGAAAACAAACCTCCTGCAGCAGATCCTCTACAGAATGGTTGAATCGATCCACAAATTCATCAATAAGTTGGCTGTGGGCTATGTCCACTCTGTTCTGGATGGTATATTCTTCACTGCAGAGGATGCTGTAGGTTTTGCTGCAGGCTTCGAGAACATCTGATTCCACATGCTTTTCCACAACAAACTTAATCTGTTTCAGTAAGGCATCCAGATGCTGTAGATCAGAAAAGAAGTTCAGCTTTCACATTACCTGAACAATGAAACTCAAAACAACACTCAGGCAAAAAATACACCAAATCACGGTAAGATTACTAATATTCAGAATGCAGGCACCGTACTATGTGACTACACTGGTAATCAGACACTTGAAAACAGGGAGAGTTCTTGCCCGATATACCATACCTTTTCCATTCTGCCTGTGCTGTAGATCTCCAGATCAAAATACTGAGGTATTTGCAGGAGATTTGCAACCTTCTCTGCATCAGCGGAATACTAGACGTCATTGAAACAAAACAAAAAGTGAAGTAATACTAAAAATCTATACCTCAGAATGAAAAAGTTTAAAGATGATTGTAAAAACCAGTAAACAATTTATGCTGTAGAAAAATGTACCTTTGATAGCAACATAGGAAGTGCAATAATGAAATGCTCAGTCAATTTATTTCTGTCATCTATCTGAGTTTTTCTTTCTTTTGCCGTTAAGACCTGCAAGCAATTAAAAATTACTACAGTGAATAAAGTTTCTGAATATAGCAGTCACTAATCTTTCTAAAGTTTCTATTACAAACAAAAACCCATGCAAGTATATTTAAAAAAAATCAAAATAGAAGCAAAAAACCCTAAAACGTGGATTGAAGAGTGATTACATGGGAGGATGATGTGTCCTAAGAAGCTTGAAAAGGAAAATGTCATTTCATCCAGCACGGTATCGTCTCTACACATCAACTTTTTTTTTTAGGATTGAAATTCAAATATAACCCAAGTGAGTGGAAGGTTTGCTATTACTTTCAAATGAATTGAGCTCTGGCTTTCACACGTTAGATGTAGCGTTAATGTAAGACATCAGGGTGAGCTGAAGTATAATTAAGAAAACCCAAACCAACCCACACTGTAGCAGTGATTTTTCATTAGCAGATTCATGGCCTCATCTCTAAACTGGAAGGTAATTCTCAGTGAGAACATACATTCAAGCTCACAGAACTCATTTTCAATTTGTAATGACAGATATATTGAAGCTGCAAAAGCTGTCACAGCAAAACCACCTTGAAACGGTGAAAAGATGGATAATAATCAAACTAGCATGCTCTGTAAAAGCTTAGCGCTGGCTTCTTGGCCTCAAAAAGGTAGAACAGTCATGAAGAATACTTCTGAAAGCAAAGAAGGATAACAGAATATTCCAAGTTAGCTAAACATTTGCGTAGAGCAAAGCTGCTAGACTGTACAATAAGGGTTACAATCTCAAGTCAGAGGAGAAACTATTTTGCAAGAAAGGGAGGGCACAATTAGAAATCTGTTTCCATTTCAGCTCAGAGAAGATGCTAGTGAGATCATAAGAACACGACAAACCTCTACTGACAAGTCAGAGATCCCTGCCGCCACCACCCCAGAATTCATCACCTAACTGAAAACAAGCAAAAGCTAAAGGTCGTACCTACATCTCTCTCTAGGTGAGGATGAACAGCTGGAAACAAAATCACAAAGAAACTGAGGCGCACACCTATGTGATTGGATGACAGGTAGCCTGTTGTGCCAGCAGGGATCCAAAACAACAGTGCAAGTGGAGGGGAACAGCTAGAGATTTGTCACCAGAGATAAGAAGCCACTGCCACAGCATACGGCAGACGGCTGGACACCACAGCAGCACCTGCAAGTCTTGGACCAGCTCACAACCCAGCACCACCAGCGGCAGCAGAAGCAACCAGCGCACCAGAAGGGGCATCAGGGGAGTGGTCACGCCAGGCCCCCACCTCCTCACGACCTAGCCATAGTTGGGTGACTAAATATTACGAGGCAATGGTGCTATTAAGCAAGCTGGCTCCCTAGGACGATCTCGATGCTCTTTCGGTCACCCTTCAGAAGGTGAAGTTTATTTTACTGATGTGTTTTCTGTAGCTTCAAAGAAACACATAGAAAGCTAAGAATTAAGAAATGTGTTGAACCTAAGCGATCTGAACTGTAGATCTCCTGAGACAGAAAGATTACTCAGAAAGCCAATAGTGATATTATTTGGTGCTCCAGTCAGAAAATACAAACACAAAGTTTTTGTTAAATGTTTGCTTTGTCTGCCAGAATGGACGGAGGTAGAGACAAAACACAAGGTTAAGTTGTACTGATAATACAGAGCTGGGAACCCAGGAAAAGAAGTGCTCATGTAAATTGCAGCAAGTACTTTTGTAGATTGTCCCCCCCTCAATGTTTTAATTAATCAGGAATTTCTTAGAATATGCATTTACAAGGTAAAGTATAAAAAGCATGTTTAAACTGATGTTTAACTGAAGCATGTTTTCTTGGAGCTTTTCCCAGGGTGCTGTTTCTGGGCATAAGGCTAATATGCTTTCGGTCCATAAAAATTAAGAAGCTAAGTAACTGTTCTAGTTTAGCAATAAAGAATGGTAAGTCTGTCTCTAAATTTCCTTTGAAATAAGCCTGTGGCATTCTGTAATAATCTACTTATGATCATTCGGAACTGAATCTAACAAAAATACCAAATGTTCATATAGCTTTATTTAATTTTAGTCTAACCTATAGAAAAGAAGGGGAGGGGCACTACCAAAAATCAGGGAAATCTGTCTGCAAAGCCAAGACTTTTGAAACCTGGACACCGTATTTATGGAGAATATAAATGAAAGCCTGTTGATCACCCCGACCTCATGTCATCCAAATGACTTACAATGCAATCCTTAGAAGTCCATGCCCAGGCTTAGGAATGAAACCGAAAATTGATGTAGGTCTCTGAACAGTCACTATATAATAATAAATAAAAGATTTAGCACCCAAACCGCAATTTGGCCAGTATGTCAAATTCTGGGATGTTTATGGTACCCAGGGGAAAAGGCCGAAAAGGATGGATACATAAAATCACAGAATCATTCAGGTGGGAAGGGACCTCAGAAGGTCCCAGTCCCATCTCCTGTTCAAAGCAGAGGCAGCTCCGGGGTCACACCAGGGTGCTCGGGGCTTTGCCCAGTCAGGTCTTGAAAGCCTCCAAGGACAGAAACTGCACCACCTCCCTGTGCCTCTGTTCCAACGCTTAACTGCTCTCATGATGAGCCTACTGGTGGCTTCTTCTGCAAATATCACCTCCGTTTTAGAAGCATATTCCTTTTAATGGAAGACAATCAGAGGCAATCTTATTCTGCTCCTGAGCTCTACTCTCTCACTTCTAATCTAGATGAGCAGTGTGGGCTGTAGATGCTGGTAGACTCCAAGCCTAAGACAGGGGTATGATAAAAAGAAAATCTAAAAGTTGTAAAAAACAAAACAAAACAAAACAAAAAAAAGACTTTTTAGGCTGTAAATTCATATTAGTCAACACAGCAATGCAAAAACCAAAATGAAACAAAAAATTCAAACATGTCTAGAAATATAATTTATATTACTTTTCTTCAAAAATTTTTATATCAAACAGGAAAACTCAATTATAAAAATCCCATTTAAAGGTGTCACCATGTGGCACTGTAGACAAATATTTTTTGTTGCTAATAGTAACACACACAGGTCTGAACCACCTATTGCAATATAACTTACTCTTTTTCCAGTGCCTCTGCCTACTGGAGGATGTGCTTCAGCAGCTTGCCGGATTGTACACACCATCAACTCAATAAGAGCACTCTCCTGCCGGTCGGACATTGCTATGGAAGGAAAAGAAAAGGTAACATCAGTTTTGATGCTATGTACACACCATCGGTGAATGCAGCTTTAAAATAGTGGGAAGAGAGAACAAAACGAAAAACATCAATTTGGCTGGTGTATAAAATCACAGCTTGCTTGCTCGCTCTTTGAATTACCGTTACATCACCTCAAACTGGACATGGTAGAACTGAAAACAAGTTCAGAGCAGGGCAGCAAAGCTGATCAAATGTCTGGAGTGATGTTGTGGAAGTAACTAAATAGGTTGGAACCTCTCAGTCTGGAAACATGATGATTGAGGGGGAAAGTAACAAAGATCTACAAAATAATGAGTGGCATGGAGGACAGAGAGGGACTGACTGTTCACTGGCACTTCCTTACAAAATATTTTCCCAATCATGCATCCCATTATTATTGTTCTTTGGGAAATACTTCTGGTCACATCTAGAGGGCCAATAATATATAATAGGCTACACACAAAGAGAAAAACACAAAATGCCACCTGCTTTCCTAAGGAACTTGCCATAGAAATAAAGGACCACAATCATGAAAGGTGGATACTAGAAGGTCAGATGTTGAAACACTGAGACCATCGGCACATCATGCTAAGACGCAGTAAGAGTACATCAGCTTTTCAACTGCATAACCACTGTGAAGGTCCCTGAAGCAGGAAAATCCTGAAGGTTTGTTTCAAAATTCTATTATCTAATTTATTGAAGTATTCATGAATATACTAGTCCTTTAAGCATCCAGACAAGAAGACAAAAGTCACAGCCTTTAATTTCAAGCAACTGCACTAGAGCAGACATCACAAGATGAAAAATTTAATATTAAACTGCTAACTACATTCTTTCTGAAGTGAATCCATTAAAAAAGGATTAAGCTAAAATCTGCATTACCTACAATTCTTCAAATATGCTTGCTAAACATACCACAACATAAACACCTCTATGCCCCAAAGTGGAACAAACATTTTAAGGAATAATTAAAAATACTGTGTGATATCAATAAAGTACAGAGATTAAACAAATACCTTCTTCTCCTTGGACTGGTTCCTCCAAGAGCAATTCTGTCATACATTCCCAGTCTTTCAGCAGTTCTTGAGAGCTCTCCCACAAACTGTCCACCAAATAAGCTGCATGTTCATGCAACTAGAAATTACAAAGCAACCATCAGTAAAGTGTTGTGGTACAAGCACTGGTTCTTCAACCCTCACAATCATTTGGGAATGGACAGCGTCCATAGGCACGGACTCTTGCAACAGTTGGATAGAAAATGAAGTTTGTAACAAACTTTGGATGGGACATGAGAATAAGGGGAAGCTATAACATATTCTTACTGAACAGGTATTTATTTTTCCTTCAAATAGCTTTTAATAATGGTGCATAACACAGATATGGAAATACTTGTTCATTTTAGTACAATATTCAGCTTTAGCTTGAACTTGACAGACAGTAACAAAATGAAAATTTGTCTAACGGTGTTCCTATTACACCTATACTTCTGAAAAAGGAAAACACGCTGGGCAGCTTTTATCGACATGTTTCAAACAAGAATACATGGAAAATTGAGCCAGAACATTCATATTTTTTTGGAACATGGTAATTACAAAATAAAATACTATAAAGTTTTTGTTAGGTTTACGTACATTTATGTTTCGAAACAATCATGTAATGATCCAAATTTGTCACTAAGTATAGCTTTGTGATCTGTCTATACAGTGGATAGAGATTCAAAAATGCTGGATATTGTCCTAATTCTGGTCTCTCAAAACAGTAGCAGAAATCCTAGCGCTTTCAGTGGGTGAAGAATTGATACTAATTTGTTTTTAATTGCAAAAAAAGTGTTCTTTATGTGAAGTAACACAACTGTTATAAAGCGAGAAAAACAATCCATAGGCTTCTACTGATTTAGAAACCGATCTTTAGTCACTTTCAAAACACAACAAGCACCATATGCAGAGCTGACTCACTTGCCGGACATGGGACTGACTCCTAAATAGGAAAACATCTAAGAGCTTAAGGAAGGTGGTATCAGGACATGTATCTACTTTCTATTTCTGACAGCCCTTGGGGAAACTGTCGTGTGTCACAGAGCTTTCCGATGCTTGTCGCAGGGTTAACTATATCTCCTTCCAAATGCACACTCTCAGATGTCCGTGCTTACGTCATCTAGTCCTCTGCAGGTGCGGTCTCCCAATTCCCTAAGTCTTATTACAGCTGGAGTCGTAATAGTCACCTTTGCTTGTAATCGCTCTCTCAAAGATAGCAATAGCAAAAAGCTAGCCCTGAGGGAGAAGCGCTCGCAGGGAGCAGCCTGCGGTTTATGCAGCCAAGCACTTTGCTGGTCGTGGCTTTGGGACCAAAGTGGAGTTTCTTCACCAGTTCTCTCCTCTGGATGATGGACAAGATTCATTCTAGGTAACTCCCAACCACACACGCACTCAGATTCAAGGCACGAAGGATACTGGGCATGACAGTTCAGCACAGCTCCGACATCAACAGATCTAGCTGCTAGCTGGGAATACAATATATATAAATAGCAGCTGTGACAGAGAGGTCCAAAGATGTGGCAATTCACACATCTGCCCTAAGGAAGTAGGCAAATAAGCACATCTGCTTATGATCCATCTTCAGAGCGCATTTTCCCGTCGGGCTGTGAATCAAGCTCTTAGGACAGGCTGCCCTTCTCATCCCCCAACTGCTACGGGCACATCTAAGGCCCTGCCTATGGCCGTTTGGTCTTCTCACTTTAAGACTTGCCACGGAGTGATCACACCAACTAGCAAAGCTTCAGCACCATTTCTTTCCATTTTCACCAGAAACTACGATGAAATACTACAATCTAATCTTTGATGAAGCTGTAAACGCAAATCCATTTGGATAGCGGATTGACAGCCCATGCAGGTAGTGGTGTTTCACCTGCCTTTACTTGTAGGTTTCTAGGGCGTTTCAAAAACGTTAACATTAACTAAACATTAACCTTGCACCTAAACGTCAACCTTCTTCTTTCTTGGCATCTCTATATTGTTTCTTTTCATTTTCGCAGTCAGGTCTCTTGCTCGAGCCTTCGTTACAATTAAAATCTCTGATTGTAATACCTTTCTCTTTGCTTTTTACACAAAACACGTTACTCTCCCTTTCGTATAGAAACATGTATGTAACTCCTTTCTCTCAATCTTCATTGGCCACTTACTGATTACTGAATTGAATTTATTATTTTTAAACCTTTCTGCCCTCAGTCTTCAGAGAATCCTGTACCTGCCAGTTTATCCCCTCTTTTCAAGTTTTCCTCCATTCAGCTGCCATTCCCAGCCTTAATTACTGTTGAGACCTCTACCATAAAAACTTCTTACGTGTGCTATCTCTGTGCACAATCTAACAGTCATGTTCATAAGCTTACCCTGTTCATATCTAAGCCCCTTATATGATCCAGGTCTTTTACACTTTTTACATTGAAATGAATTTCTATTTATTTTTATATACGTTTATTTGTAATTCCTTTCCCGTCTGTTAACTTCTATTAATTTGTCCCACAAAATCCTATCCTGGATGTGGCGGTCCAGCACTTAATACCATCATATATATGTTTGCAGTCTCCACCCTTGGCTGTTTTCCAAGACCCAACTGGATAAAGCCCTGAGCAACCCGGTCCAATCTCAGAGATGACTCTGTTCAAATATATTTACTTCATGAAGAGTAACTCCAAAGGTAGACTGTTTAGTTGATTATCTTAAAGAAAGCACCAGTAACGTTTTTATATACTAGTGAATCCCGGGAGCCGCTATACTATCAGCAATACAGTATCAAGTACACTGGGGACAAATAGGAGCGAAATAAATCATACAGAAGATTTTGTCCTGAACTCACTTGATGGACAAGGTGATGGGATAAAGGGTATAGAGTATTTCTGAAATCATTTTTAAAAAGGAAAGAAAAAGACAACCTGTTACTGATGTTGATAAATCACTACTTAATTTCCAGGTTTTAGTAAACATGCAAAAATTAAAAATCAATTTTTGTTACCTCACTTTCAAGAAAGAAAAGAACCAACATTCTAATAAGGTTTCCATTTGGACTATTTCGCCCTCTCCTCTTCGCTAGAGCCTCTTCAGCTTGGGGATCATGTCTGCTGAACAGTCTAAAAATAAGCAAAAGGAGCTATCATGTTCATTGAAACAAATCTCATTTCTTCAATAATACGATGAGTATTCATTCTTGTTATAGCAGGTTTGTTCTTAAAATACAGTGAAAATATCCCAAGCTATTTCTTTCAAGGGAAAAAAAGGTACAAATTCATCCCGCCAGAAGAGATGATTTTATCTTCAGAGTCTTCAAGTTCAGAGGCATGGAGGCATTGCACCCAAGGAAAAAATCTCTAAAACATTTACATTGAAGAAGTTTGCACAGTTTTATACATTTGCATGATTTATATAGTTTTGTATTTTTAATTTTTCAAGTTTTATGATGGTGGAAACGCTTATTCCACCAGTGCCATAAGAACTAAGGTTGTACCTTCACTGTGGCCAGGCTGACTGAGATGTGACATAAACATATTTCATATCCCATTTATTCCAACCAAGCTCAGGTACCAGTAGCAGCATGAAAGACAGAGCAAGCTACCAGTCAAACATTTGGCTTTTTTTTTTTTTCCTCTCCAAGTGAATTATCCATTTTCCATCAAGCTCCCTGGCTAACTCCATACTGCTCTCAACACTCAAATGTGATAGCATAACATGATCTCAGATACGGTTTATGTTACACACAAACTTTATATTTTATTTCTCTGTTACAGACATCATCTTTTTTCCCCTGCTGATCTATTGAGTCACAGATTCACGTACAGAAATAAGCACCTCTGCAGCTGCTGAAATATCTTAAATATCCATCCCAGGGTTTAGTTAGTGGTCGCAGTATCTACTTTCCTTCGCTAACTATGGAGTCTAACGACCAGCTTACGCTTAGAAAGTGGCATTTAAATGTACAGTATTAGGTTGAGATCAATCCTATCCCAAATGCCTCAGGTAGACTCTAACTTACTTAAACTAGAATACCAGCTCTTAGGTGGTGGCAGGAGCCAAGAGAAAATGAGCGGTAGGCATGGGACGCTTTTTCTTCAATACTATTTACCTCAAGAGACATATTTACAGAATATAGCATAGTATCTCATTGCAATGAAAAGCTAGGATAAAGTTTTGTCTTTTCACTAGGATACAGATTTGTCTTTGGAGAAATTCATTTACCTTTCAGCCACTTTTCCAGACTATTTTGTCACATGTTAATTAACAGAGGTATCTCAGTGTACAGTTCTTAAAAAAGATCTAATCACTTCCTACAACTTGTATAGGAAACCAAATGTAAATGAATTTTGTAAATTAATTCCAAGAAACAGACAATGGCTGATCACAGAGATGGAATTTTGGAAATCCACTCGCAAAACCTGACAATTACCACCGTGGACTTCTAAATCACCAATAAACCAAGGAAAACGATAAGAACATTGACAAAGGAAAAGTGATATTTTAAAGTCATTTTTTCTTTCATCTGCATCTTGACATGAAATGACCTGCGTTCTGATATTAATGCTCTGTAGGTATATTAAAGAATTCCAATCCCTCAACTTAATCCCTCAACTCAAAAGGGGAAAAGAAAATTATTAAAGACTTTCAACTTGTAACTTCTTATCTAGCTAACACTTAAATTAGAAAATTAACTACTGTGATGTGGCAATGCCCTGTTGATAGTCACTGATGTAGTACGATTCGTGTCAGCGGAAAAGCTAGCCCGTTTCCTCTGGGATAGTGGTTTCATGAAATAGGTAGCCACACTGTAACACGTTTTTAAGGGAAGATAAGAGTTTAGAAACCAATTCATTAAAACAAAAAAAAAATTCTTAAAATTGGTAATTTGGAAATAAACTGACTTACAAGTTCTTAAAAGTGATGACTGCATATCAGGCAGACAAGCCAGGGATGTATAGGCTTTAAAATATCACAACAGTATTTCAACAAAGCGAGAAGATTCAAAACAACTTCAGCACAGACAGGGATAAGCAACCTTTTATGTTTAGCCCTTGAGAAATCAGTAACGTTTATCTGAATCCTGGAGCAAGAAAAATGTAAATCTAGTTTCTTTAAGTATTTAGGGCTTGAATTAAAGCAAGAGAGGAAGTCTGTGTTCCAAATTAAGTACCTGAAATAGTGCTAATTTGGGATATTTTGGTCTATTGCTTCTTTGCCTTTAGACCTTCTCACTACTAGGAAGCTATCATGCATCTGTTCTTATCCCAAGGATAACAGGTAACTTACTTTTTGTGAAGGAATTCCCCAGCTGCTACTGCAACAGGCCGGTGCGCTGAATACACCAAGTGATAAACATTCTCACAGTCTTCATTCGACAGAGCTTCTTCACTTCCACTGAAAGAGTCAGAAAGTAACACCTGAACTAAAACAAAGGCTTCCTTTCCGCTCCCTCACCTCCCACAACTTACTTTTGACAGCTACAAGGTCGATTCCCTTCATAAAAATCCTAAATGGAGGAACGCTGACTTCAAAGATCTTTGGCTCAGTTTCCAAACAAAGAGACATTTAAAGGGCTTGTAAGCCTGAACGTTTGTCTGATATCCTCTCCCCACTTATATCATTCTATATAATAACTTTAAGGAAAAAATATTACCGTTACTTACAAATCTTGTAAGTAGATTTACACTTAACCACTTAGACCATCACACTAACTACAATACTGATGCTAAAAGATACCAAACACTTAGCATCAAGCGTTATTAAGTTAAAACCCTAGAATATTACATGAGGAAAATGCTATTGCTTGCTTGAACTTACTTACTTTTGCGGCACTGTCTGTTTGCTTTTAAAACTTTTAATTCACAAAATGTTTTGAAATATCTGGGACAGGGCAACCCTTTTTCTCCTTCAGTCTCTTGTCCTACTCCATTCTCAGGAGTCCGGGTCTCTGCAGGTGATGGTCCTGCTCTCGCACAGCACTGACAAGTGCTCTGGACATGGGCAGCAGAAAACTAAACCAGATCATGCCACATATGATGTCTCTGGGACACACAACTGACACTGTGGATACTCCAGTAAAATCAATGCCTAATGATTGTAGGACTGAATCACGTGCATTTAGAATTACGAGAATACTGACATCATAAACTGTCCATCACTCTTACAGTAGTTAATGCACTAACTTTATACAAATGCCCAGAGGTACATGGTCTGATTTTCAATGTCAAGGAATTGTATCTTATACCACCGTCTGCTGGATTTAAGATGTTAAAAAGTTTATTTTGTGTAATTATTTCTTGATCAGAGCAAGCCACCTCTTATCCTTGTCTTGGGCAAATTACCTAGTCGGGCCCTCTACAGTTTCTGAGCTTAAAGCAGATTTTGTGTGTGTTCTCTGAAATCATTTCTATTTTTCAGTATTATTCTTGAAGTATGCTATGCATAATGGAACTACAATAATATTCCATCAATGACATCATCAATAGTGCCTACAGAAATAATGCGACTTCTCTCCTTCTTTAGGCAGTATTTAACAGATAAGTTTATTTAACAGGAATCTATCCATCTTTTGGCTTCAGACTACAAAGAATTTTGAAGTCATCATTCCCCATCATGATTGTCCCTAACACCTTTCCATGGTTCCCACCTGCCAGAATATTGCCCTGTACTGTTAACTGCGACCCGTGTTTTTTTGGTCCTAAATGCATCAGCTTGTATTTAGCTGGATTTTCATCATTATGCAGCCAAAGAGAAAACAGGTCAGGGAAAAAAAAGAGAGGCACTGGACAAATTGCTAAAATCACCTAAAATCTTACTGTGTCCCCAAACATAGCTAATAGAGCAGGGAGCAGATATTTTCTACATCTCTTCCACGATCACAGTTTTTATATTTGCTTTAAAAATATCAGCAATATAAAAGTAGATATCAGATTCCCTTTCTTCCTAATACTCCAAGTTTAATATCTGTAAAGCAGGAAGACCGATAAATAAAAGCTGAAGTCAGACTTCTTCATTAACAGGAAGAGCTAGTCTAATCTTTCATCCAAATTCTGTGTGTCCAAAAATGCTCCTCAATGTTGAGCCTCTGGGTATAAAACTGTGAGGCAGAAACTCTACACATCTGTTTGTGGAACAGATTTTCTTTAACATATGGTTTAGAGAACATATGATAGAGCCTTAGCAGAACTTCTCCAGCAGCATCCTTATGAGACTACTGTGGCTGGATCCCAGTGTATTTAGATCCACGTGCCATTAAAAAGACATGTCGGTTCAAATAATCGGCCTGTGAAACGATTGCACGTGGCCTGAATCCTTGTCTCGGGGAAGGTGCCGGGGAAGCACATCTCCTCCTGCATCAGTGCATGGCCCAGCGTTTAAAACCACAAGCTACAGCTGCCACCTCCACATAAGCCAGAAGCGTGTCTTGAGGCTGGCAACGTTTTCCTGTTGACTTATTTGCTAGATGACCCTCTTTTCAGTCTTGTCAGCTAGCTAATGACCCTCTTTTCAGTCTTGTCAGCTAATCAAATCTTCTCATCCAGGATCTTCACTCAGTTACCAGTAGAGTTTTTTAGCAAATGCAACCCACACTCAGCTGTTTTGGGAAGGACAATACATTTTGCCCCGTTCTCATGTATAGTCAACAGTGGATGCACTAAAACTAATAGTCTCAATGAACTGTTTTTATATGTTGCCTGTTGTATTTTCATGCAATCAAATACCTTGTTTTAGCTTCCTGACAATAATATTACACGTTCAGTCAAATTCATACCAAATGGACTTATTACCCAAGCGAAGAAATCAAGTCAATTAAATAGCACTGGCTAAGGTAATTTTCAGAGGGAACATACAGGTTTTGAAAAATACTCACTGAAGTATTAGCGTGACTAATCGAATGGCTTCCACAGCGACATCATATTCCTTATCAAGTGTCATTGATACAATGCGATCCTGAAAAGCAATTTTATTACAGTGACAAAACAAAAAAAAACCACAAAGAGCTATCAGCTGAAGAGTTCTGCAGATTACAAAACAAATAGTCTTGGTGGAAAGATCTTTCGACTAGATACATGAAGGCCCTTTGGTATCGTTCAAGCGCTTAAGGCGCATCTATGAGAGCTCTGTGCTATACGCAGCATGGAACAACTGACAAGTACACAGGAATGGGAACAGGCACTAAAGAAACATTGCTTATAGTTGTGTGTTTTGGAGGAAACAAGCAAGCAGACTGTGGAGGTGAAGTACCGTTCTGGACCGGTCTCTTTTAACACTTCTTTCCTGAAAAGGAAGATAAGTGGGTTGGACTACAGCACAAAAATGGCCCCATTTCATCCTCCTGAAAACAAACAGTTTGAGAGCAATGAATGCTGCATGTATGCACGTCCAGAAACACTATGCAGAAAATCTCGCCCGCATGTATGTACACTCTTGTTATTGCCTATAAGATCATGACTTGTATGCCTGGCTACATCTTAAGGTTATAAGCTGGTCTCAAGAATTACCCTACAGACTTTCCACAGGAAAGTGGGAAATTCAGTGGTATGACTTTATACTTTCCTACACTTTTTCTAGTACAGACACGTACACCGCTCTCCGATCAAACATAATGATTTTACAACTTCTAAGTAGTTATGCAGAAGTCCCCTAAGGATTTCTTTCTTTTTAGTTTCATTTTGCTAACTGTCATCCTAAGATGCAATTCATGTATATTGTCCTCCCTATCTGGAGAGGAATTCTATCCATCCATAAAAATGCAACACGTCTCGGCATTTTTTTTTCTGATCAAATTAATGAAAAGAAATGAGGCCATCTGAAATAAAATTTGATTTCTGTGGCTCGACCTGCGTCAGGATAGACTAGGTAGTATATGATATCTTGGGACGTGAAAGAATAGAAGTCAGAGACTGGAAAAGAAATAAAGAAAGTTCTAGGAAGCACCATTAAAAGTCACCAGGAACAAAGCAACACAAAATAAAAGTGCCCAACTCCTTTTTCTACTATTTTAGGCATTAACTCTTCTACTATTCTATTATTTCAGGCATTAAAAGGCTAACAGTAGACATCAAACAACAAGATGCTTATTTCGGCACTGAAATTTAGGAAAAGTATGTAAAGCGTTCAGGGCGTCTCCAGCATTACCTCTCAAACACCACAGGTCTGTAGAGTACTCCGTGTTGTTAAGACTGAACGTACCTCTGTTACCATGTAAATTCCTGGGAAATTTGATGCATCTAACTGTTTTGTCTAGATAGTCTGACAGACTGTGAGGAGTCCCGGGAGAGACTCAATCAGTGAAGTAACTTTCCAAATAGGAAATTCTGTGTGTGGAGAAGACACACCATTGCTGCCAATTTTCCTAAGATTTTGGCCAAGGAACAACAACGAAGAAAACATCAGGAAAAAGAACAGCGAGAGATATTGCTCCTAAAGCTTCAGCAGCATTTCATACAACCTCTCAAAGTCTATCCTGGATGCCAGGACACCATGGGGAACTCCTGGGAGCTGACAGAAGACAAGAGAAAACAAATTGCACACAAATGAGCAAGCACACAGGTATAAAACGCCTTTTAAACCTCCAAAGAAAGCCTGGAGTGGAAGGGATCTTCTCTTCTGCCTACAGAACAGGAGGTAACCCTCTGCCTTTGGAGTCCTCCTCGATCTTGGAAACTGCCTGATGTGACAATATTCTCTTATCCGATAAGGCTGTTCTTTCCTCTGAATTTTGCCAGAAACATCACGCGTCTCAGGCCTAAAATTGACAGTGCTGACGTGCAACATTTTCGTTTCTGTCGCAGTGCGAGCACCTCAGTGCGACAGCACCAGTCAGGATGCTTGAAAATGAGACCTGAACACCTAATGCCTCTGGAAGGTTTAACTTCAGCGGTTTAGTAACTCATGAAGCCCAGCTGTTCAATCTGCTTTGATAGAAATTTCCTGTGCCACAGCGCAGCAGTAGAATAAGACATGTGCTTGCATCTTGGCCTGTATTTATAACTTAAAAATATTAATTCACACTGTTTATGAAGATCAGTTTGTGCTACTATATTAATTAGGCTGTGAACAAAGCTGGCTGAAGAGCAAATGTATCTCCTTCTGCCACTCATGCCACGGAGACAGCAGCCTCCAGCTGGAAAGGGTCAGGGCCGCAGATAATTTTGCTGGTGCCTCGACTCCGGCATGGACTGCAGAGGACCCAATTCCCATCTTTTCTATTCCCATCTATTCATCACCTATTTCTTCAATTAATGTTTGTATCCAACAGGACTTCTTGATGAAAAACAAAAGTCTCTTCTTTGACAGACAACACCTTTTTTTTTTTTTTTTCCTTTTTAAGCTTAATTACTGGAGTATCATCTACTCCTAGAAACATTATCAGCAGTGGCTCATCCTCACACACTCAGAGATGCTGGAGAAGAACACACATCATTCCCTTCGAGGGGTGACATAACGAGTTCCTCTTCACAGCTCTCCGGAAGGTGGTAAAATATTAACATCCCAGTACAGGTCATTCTGGATCAAATTAATGTATGCTTTAAACAAGTAGGGGATCTCTAGAGAGATTTCTCTTGACAGTTTGAATGGATTGAGCTGAGTAACAGCTGAACTGCACAAGCTGATAAAAGTCGGGTAACAAAATACAAATAAGCAGCCATGGAAATGAGAATGGCAGTTAGGCTATTTGGGGGGGTGGGGGGGGCAGGGGGGCTGTGGTGCCAAGGACATTTAAGAAATGCATCACAGATTCAAAACATATTAATCTGAAACTTCTTCTCCACCCTGATGCCAAAGGGTGGAGATGCTTCCGGGCCAGCAGGGCTGAAGCGATGTCCAGTCATTTGGGCAAAGCCAGCTTTTTGCTCTCTTGAATGTGGCTGGAAACAAACTGGTGAATCTTTACCATGTTAAACATATATATTGTCTAGGACCACATAGCCTTTGAACTTGCCTTTTCTCTAATTCATAATGATACAGATTTTTGTAATAAAAACAGATTTTTTTTATTGGAATAGAAGAAAGATAAAGATTCCTAACAGGATTCCCTATTCTCTGAATTTTTAGACAGAAATCACTTTGTGCCTTTCTAAAAGGAGAAGTAACAGAAAATGTACAGGCTAAGGTGTTTTCTTCTTTTAATAAATAAATGTATCTATACTCTGAAAAAATCAGGAGGAAGCGTTTAGAAGTTTCACGCTCCAGCAGTTTTTCAAAAGACGTTACAGAGCAATCATTTCTCCAAGTGCCTCCAACGGTCTTGGAAAGTTTTGCTGGGGGATGGAACAAGATTCAGACTCCAAGCAGAGTGTGTTCCCCTACAAATTAAATTATAGGAGGTTACGAGAGAAGCAATCAGCACATCTTCTGGCAAACAGAAGCAGATATGGGGACCATCAAAGTTTTAGAGGCCTATTTGGAAAGAAACCAAATTAGAGGAGCAGCAGGTTTAAGTAAATCTGTAAGTCTGCACAGAAGGAACAAGAAAAAGCAGCAAAGAGCTTTTGGGTTCATTTTTCTAGAGAGGTAACTAGCGTTTCCGGTTGTCCTGAGATGATAACTAAACCAGACTTATGGGGGGACTGGAGAAGTTGTCCAAGATTTGAAGATTCTGCCATCCCTGTTTGCCTGGTGCTCCTCCACGAGAGAAAATTTTGTCTTTGCTGCAATAGCCACAGAAACGGACATTAGAAAACTAGAAAACTATAGGCCCCGAAGAGGTCTCAGAAAACAATCTAGCTTCATCTCCTACTTGAAAGTCAACTGTACCTCCTTCATTCCTGACAGATATTTATTTAATCTGCCCTTAAAAACCACAAAAGGAGGAGATCCCACAACTTCTATAATACACCTGTTGCTTTGGACAGAAAGTTCAAGCAATTTCCATTTTCCCTCCCTCTCTCTAATGGATGTGGTGAAAGGCAATGTTTCTGTGAACCATTTCACATGTTTCTGTGAATCATTTACATATAGAGAGCATATCATATGTTTCCTATATTTTGTCTTCTTCTAAATCAAACTATTCTGAAGGAGTTAATAGTAATGGCAATGACAGATGAAACCAATGAAGCAGTACAAAATCTACAAGTGAGATGTTTTTCAGTCTGCTACACAGTAGTTATTTATGAGTAGAGAATTTAAATCTCCACCTCCTTTCTAAATAGCATTTTTCATCAGCACTGTATTCAGGACTTAAAGAAATTAAATTAATATTTCCTTGGGAAGGTAGTCTTTACCACAGTTAACGTGTTCTCCAAAACACAAAAGTGATGGTAAAAGGCACCAGCTGACGTGGTGACAGTGCCTGAAAGCTTTCTTCGCAGAGCATCCCAACAGCACCACGCCAGCATTTCTACGTAGACTCAGCTCTCCAGATACTTCACACGTGAAATAAAGTCGTCATGCCAAAAAGTGAATTAACAGCCACGTTTTCATTAAGATACTAAGCAAAAAGCCAGTGTGTTTGTGCTAGTCAAAAGTAACAAACTATATTTGTCCAGTACTCTCTCCTGAACAGGACAGTCACCCTCGGGGGGTTGTCTAAAAGTGCAATCTAACCTCCTGTTCTGGAGGAAGGCATTGGCAATGCAGTGCACTATGGAGCAGATCACAGCATCTCTTCCTTCAAACACAGACACAAATTCAGCTCAACAGCATCTCAGGAACCACTCTTTTTCAGGCTGCTGCTTTCAGATATATTTTAGAATGTGTGAAGCAAGTCACTGCGCAAGTCCTTAAAATTCAGTAACTTTAAAATTAAATATGCACAAGCAGATTGAATAATGATAACGAACAAGCCACCAATAATACAAACAGATAAATAACCATCCTGGCCCAGCCTGACAATCCTTACAAGATAAAAAACTATAAAATGAATTTGTCTTACTCTCAGCATTCAGTAATACAGTTTTACTATTGTAGTTGCAAGATGAGTGACAAGCAGATGAGTTTGCATTCAATTTACATGGATCAAAGACCGCAACATGAGATGGACGATACTTATATTTTGTGTAGTCCTTCCAAAAATTATATTTCCTCTTACCTTGAATCTATTAGTGAACAGCTCCAGTTTGGGAAATAACTCTCTGTTGGTATATAGACTCTGAAGAGCTTTCAAACACTTCAACCTCACTTCACCTTGCTAAATAAAACACACTAAGATTAGCTGAAATAATACCCTAATCAAATGCACATGAATATTAAATAATATAATCTTGTAATTTGTTTAATGTACATTTAAAACTTTATGCAAATGAGTTACCAAAGCCAATTTGCAATTCAGCTAAAAACCAAAAACCACATGCAGCTGCCTACAAAACAAATGTTAAATTTTCTCCCTATTTGCATATACAAAGAATTTAAAACGCTATCAGTTAAATGTCTGTTACTGTTTCGTTCCTTTTCGAATAACTCCACAATGCAAGCTAGAGAAACAACGTGCTAAGTAAATGCAAAATAAAGACACATGATCTCAATGTACTTGGTGAGAAGACAGTGCAGCTGTTTATCTTCAGGAACGTGATTACAGGTAACTTTGCACAACAGCTAGGGTTTAAAATCAATGTACAGGTGTTCAAAATGATTGGGCCTGTGCAGTACACATCCCACTAAAACATTTCACCCCGCCATCTCCGAGCCACCGTCTTTCCTTTTTCCCCAAGATGACATAGAGGGAACGCATGCTGGCTTCACTTCTCTGAAGTTATTTATTTTCTGCGGCTCATCTCTCGTCATATGACGCGTGCACCCCTAGGCAGTACCTACGGAGCAAGGTTTGTTGCCTAGCGGACACTGGTGATACCCTGGGCACGCGCACGTTATCTGGCTGGCTGCAAGGGTTCAGGCACACCTCACCTGCAGAGTCCTGCGATTCTCATTCAAAAATATTTGTAGGCAGCAAAAACGTTATCAACGCAAATCTGCTCAAATATAATACATATAGCTCACTGCAATGGCAAAGTACTTTATAAAAGTAAGTACATGCACTACCATGTGTGAGGCCTTAGGCTGATCAAAACAAAAAAAAACCCCAAATGATTGATCTTCATAAATAAAACTCCAAAAACTCCAAACCTACAGAACTTGAGTTGTTAGTCTGTCTAGTCTATAACCAACTCGGCATCTAAAAAGCTGCTCAGGAGGGAACCTGAAGGAACTTACAAACAGAAGTTTAAAAAAAATTTTTTTTCTTCTTCTTTTTTTTTTTTTTTTAAACAGAAGGCACAGAAAAATAGTTTCTTGAAAAACTTTATGTGGATGTGATCAATCACACAGAAGTATTCTACGTTAAACAAGTACAACTGCAGAGAGGCACTGTTTGTTATTTTGTCCGGGGCACCTATGTCGAGGCCCCAGAAACAGTGAGCTTGCTCTGCTGTGTGGCATTCAGAAGGGATAGCATCTACGAAGTCACCACTAATCCTCAGAAGATGTAAGCCTCTTATGGTCTTAACTTATTTAGCCCCATAGGATCAGTATCAGTATCACTTTTGGCATGTAATGAGCACAACGGAGAAGCAGCGAGGGGGTAGCTGGTTTAGTTACAGCTGTCTCAAGTTGCAATTGCATTGAAGACTGCCCTGCTCGAGCAGATGGTTTGTTATTCAGCCCGTGGTGTAGTCCCAAAAAGCAAACTCTCAATTGGTTAGAGACAGAAAAAAAAAATCAGTGCCAACAGGAACAAGAGTTGAGGCCTGTAAGGATAAGGTTGCACTCCTTGGTCTTGCAGTCACTGATGGCTCTTGTGGACTTCACCCAACATCATGGATCAGCAGTCTCACAGAGCTGAGTTCAGGCATGCTACTGAGGGTGCCCGTAGGTCATAAGTAGGCAAATCAAGCAAGGTAGATAGGAAGTACACTTGTGACCATCGGGTACTTGCATGGCCTACCAGGAGGCTGAAGCCAAGATGCTACCAAAAAAAAAAAGCAGCCTGCTGCTGCTCATCTGCAGAGCCAAGGCAGAAGACAAATGACTGCAAGGCTCTGGGAGCAAGGATGGAAGAGAGATAGGTAGTGTCATGGCAGATCCTTCTAGCTGAAAGCAAAGGCCCAGGAGACACAGGTGCATCCTTGAAAATGACTCCCTTTCCTGGCAGACAAATGATAAAGAGGGACTTTTTCTGACAGCGAAAAGTCTGTTTTCTAAACCGCTGGTCAAGAATGGAATTCATCACCTCAGAAACAAAAGAGCATCAGCTTGCTAATCCCATTAAGAAGGCTTTAAAATAGAGTCAGCGGTGATTAGTGCCAGAAGCCCACAGGTAAGCGTCAACAGCAGTGACCTGGACAAGAGCCTGAGGGAGGCACAAGTGAAGGTGTATCCGTGCGCGCTGTGCTGAAGCCCAGAATGGAAAGAGCGGAAATGCACCAAGGACCATCAACATACCAGACCGATGAGATAAGTAACTGTGAGAATCATCCAAAGTATAGAAAGTGAGCATTAACCCGAGCCTTTAACACCACAAGCATTTCTGGGGTACAGGAATTTCCTGTCCAGCATGGAAGTGGGTGGGAATTAGTTTTATACACGCCTTTCTCTAGTCCAGTTATTCCTGTAATTCCTCTTCCCTCCAAAAGGTTTCAGATAATTATTTATTTTTATTGTGCTAATGTTAATTTAAATTCTTTTCATGAATATGAGAAATTGCCTTGTATTGTAATATCTAACTGCTAGTGCTTTCTTTTACAATTTGAAATTAGATCCTGCAATAAAAATAGCAAATATTTATCAATACTGCTAAATGACAGACGCTCCGTTTTCCCTGTTCTTGTTGATCTATTCCTTAGACCCCAGGAAGATGACTACTTCTGGAGCCCCACAAACACAATTCTTAAAAATTTTCTAACTGGGTGGGTGGTCAAGAGAGCCAGCAGCAACATTTCTCTCCTTTCGTACCTCACGTCTCTTTTTTGCATTTTTCCGATTCCTTTTTTTGGTGGCCAAGTGTACTGTGTTACTTATTTGCTTACAATGATTTAACAATAGATAATTATTTTGCTCAGATCTTTGCCACATCACATGTCCGTAGACTGTATTCCGTGTTTGTTTTCTCTCGTTTGTGTAGAAAATTGACCTAAATTGCTAGATACCTTCAACCCCATAGGGCATGGGATGAGCGTGCACGGGATGACTGTGCTTCAGTGTGCCGTATTTTAATGCTCTAGCATGGTGTACGGTGAGATGACCAGCCGATTCGTAACAGGAAAAGCTACGCTGCCAGGGAGAAACAGACGTAAAAAGTTCTGGGGCACACAAGTACCTGCGGCAGGACATCTTCTGGGCAGGAGCACGAAGCGGTCGTGCACTGCCTGCACGAGCCCACTGAACACCGTATCACCTGATACGTTTTTGGTTTTCTCCACATCTCCAAAACACAAGGAAATTATGTACCAAGGAGGTTATGTAAAGTTAAGCACTCAGAAGCTTGGAAAAACTACAATTTCAGTTTCTATACAATTTTTGTATAAACAAGTTCAACTCAAATCTTTTTAAGTTAGGATGCCATCGCTATTAACTATTCAAATACCATCTGTTCCACAGGACCCTTGGTTCATTCTTTTCACAGAACAGACAACATGCAACATAGAGGTATGCAAAGAAAGAAAAGGCGTTTTCTTGGGCGCTAGGCATTGGTTTAGGAATGAGGACTGCCTGGATAGCCTAGAGACACCGTTATAGTTTCGAAACAGTTCCCTGCATGAGTGAGGCAGGAGAAAATTAGGACTGGACAATCTAATTTAACAAATTTTTAAAACAGGTGTTTTATATACAATTATATTAGTTTCATATAATTTTAATTCATCCTCTCAGATTCATGTTAATGAAAAAGAAGCATAAAAGGAGAGAAAGGTATAACTAGAAGCCCATATTTAAATAGGAACATAATCCCCTGTAAAAACAAAACAAAACAAAACCTATCATCTCAAATCCAGGAAAGGGACAGGATTAACATACAAAATAGAAAAATATTCCAAATTAGAGATCTAAAGTTCTGTATCCTACCTCTGAAAGACTACACTGGATCTACTACAAAGAAGTGTAAAAACTAGGTCTTCCCTGTGGTTTAATTTGTAAGTCTTAGGCAGAATACGAAACTCGTCATTATCTCCTGCGCTGCTGTCTCCTCTCTTTCTAGTAGCAGCAAGCTTCCAAAGCAGGTAATCGATTTGTTCACATGAAATGGAAATACCTTATGACTATTGCCTCAACGTTCAATTTTTCAATATCCTAAGTACTGATCTTAGCAAAAATTACCTCCTGGTCAAAGCAAACCAAAACCACGACCTGGGACTTGGCTACCGGCAGACAAGCTTTCCAGGCGCTGCCAGTGAAAACCACTCTATTAACAAATGATGGGATCTTACACTTTTGGATGGTTTTGCATTTCTTGACTTGCTCTTATTCCCCAAATCTCTCTCTCTCTCTCTCTCCTTCTCCCTTTTCATCCTTTCATACTTGATTCACCTGCCTCTGACTCTTCCCTTATTCTACTTACAATCCGTCTCATTCTACACATTAAACATATACTACAACATTAATAAAAAAAAAATTACACGGCATGCACATCAGTGTATGAGCGCTCAGATTAGTTACAGACAGAGAAACCCAGAGCACCTCTGAGGCCTGCAGCAACAACCGTTACAATCCAGCAGAGGAGGGAGAGCAGCCTGGCAGAATTCTGCTGTGTCTGGTCCAGATGTAAAGCTTCATTTTTTTAAACTATAATACTGCAACATAAACTTTATCTAATATGAAAGGAACATACTAGCTTTATTTTAGGACAGCTGAGGTAACATGTATGTTAGGGCTGCAGGCAGATGTCCAAGCCCTGGCCTGAGGTTAAGCTAACTGAACAAGATGTGAGAAACTACTGGATATGACATGAGAAATTGCTGGATGTGACAGATAACAGTATGAGAAGCTGACGGAAGTTACAGATAGCGCCAAGAGGAATGGCTGGATTTCACAGATGGTTAAAGGGGAGTTATGTGAGAAATGGCTGCACTTCACAGATACTAGAAGGGCGCTGAGAGCTGCAAGTGCAATACCGCTAGATCTGCTCTGCCATTGGAAGTGCTGCTCTGCAGAAATCTTCTGCTAGGATTAGTGTGCTCCAAAAAATCCACTGGTGAATCTAGGCATGCAGTCTCAAATACCTAGAACACCAGGAAAAATTGTGCTTATGGGTGAGGATGAAGTTTCAAGGGATAATCTATTTGTAATTTTCAGTTAAAAGTCTTTCTAAAATAAAGCCCTCCATCACACTTATAAACCTAATCCTCTAACCTGGGTTGACTTCCCCAGTGACTTGACAGCTTCAAGTAACGGTCACCAACTGATGTGACATGCCTACTAGCTAGCTGCACCAATGCTAAGAATGAGAGGCAAAGATGGGCAGCAGCTCTGCCCCTCAAAGCACTGGGATGACCATGTTTACGTGTCTAAGCCTTAATGCCAGGAAGCACAGTGGCTCTAGGGTACACAGCAGTCATGGAGTCATGCTTCCAGCGATAACTAAGATCTTCCTAATCAAGTTTTGTAACAAGGAGATCTAACATGGAAGTTGGGGAACCACAGGCTTTGAGAGGAAAGCCATCACAGATCTAGTCTTCAAAGCATACAGGCTAATATTAACAGGTAGATTGCTAGTCCAGACCAAGGAAGATGCAGATGCTTTGTCAGCTAGAGCTAAAGCAAAAGAACCAGAGGCAGCTCAATTTCTTTTGTCCTAAACAGGCCTTCTATTTGATCGCTTACTGACCTCAGCAAGAGCGACCAAGTCACGTCCTCAGTATGTTGTCCAAAGTTCTTGATCATTGTTTTAAGGCATCAGTTGTAAACTACTAATTGTACAAGTCATCATAATGAACTTTCAACCTTTTAATTTTTCCAGCTGCTCCATTAGAAAAAACAGTAGTCTGAACTACGATGTCGAAACATAATGAGTATTGCAACAGTATAGGTAGGTCTTGTCTGTTTTTCCTGGACACTGTTTAGGAAAACAGTTAATCAAATATTTCTAGTGGGTTTGATAACAGTGGGAGAATGGCTAGGCCCAGCTGATTCTTGCGGCAGAAAAAAACCCTAGAGGTAGCAGTGCAAAACTCTGTTCTATAAGCGTTAGGAAAGGGCTACTCTTGTTGCAGTAACTGAGCGGCACGCAGGCCTGGTCACAGATGCCACCAGTGCTAAGAACAGTGGTCAGAAAAGAACATCCTGATACAAATCTTTTTGCTTCCACCTGACCTTTCAGCAATTTTTGCAGGAAAAAAAAGCCTTAGGGAACCTTGAAGAATCTCCCTCCTGCTAGAAAGGCCAGAGAGACGGCTGCTGGAGATGGCCACACTCCAAGACCAACTCCAATAACTGTCTGAGCTCTCCTGAGCTGGCACCAAGAGATGGACTTGATAAAGAGACATTCCTGCCAGACAAAATTGGGGAAGCTTTCAGGATATGGAGAAAGAAGTATCCTTTAAAGCAGGCTGGTGCTGAACGTCAATAAACCTAAAATAGCAAAGGGAAAATGAGATGACGATAACTCCACTGGTTGTGGTGCCAGTGATGCCTGCTTGGTTCATTCTGGGACCCAAAAAAGTTCTCTTTCCTTTAACTCCTGGGCAATGTAAATGTTCAACAGAAGACACATCTGGAAATCTCTTTTCCATTCTGTTTCAGACACAAACGTTCTCGAGGTGATCTCAGGAGACTTCTCTTTCTCTTGCACTCAGAAGAAAAGGAGCGTGGGAAAGATTTCTATTAAGATATTCCAGTGGAGACTGAACACAGAAAAAGCACATTAATCAGCATGCAGTTTGGGACTACCGTATCCTGATTTAAGTGCACGCACTGAAATAAGCTGGTCAAAAGGTAAATGCGGGCAAGAGAGAACAAGAATTTCTTTATAAATCAAAGATGATACACTAAACATGTCTTGGTTAATAGAACACCAGCTGTTTACAGTATACTCTATGTACAGTAATACACAATACTTACCCTGTCATGTAGTGTCCAACCAACATATTTTAAATAACTATCATTCAGGAAGGCATCACTGTACATTTTCATCCAGACACCAATTTCTTCAATACAGACAGCTCTAATCTCAGCAATAGCATCGCTATTAGGGAAAAAGAAGAAAAGTATTAACCAGATTATAGACACATACCATTTTCCTCTCATTCCCATTGCTCCAGTAATAATATTTTGCTTTTATTGCCATGTGATGAACTTCACTAGGTAGAAGCATGTCACTCCTCTCTCTTTTGCTGCCTCACTGATTTTCTCTTCCTGTATGTCCTCAAACTCACTGATCTATCTGTTCATCTCAATAGCTCTATGTTCAGATATGATGCTTCCATTATCTCAAAAAATTCTCACTCTATTCTGCTCAATCTAATACTCCATCTTTTTACTCTCGCTTTTCAAAGTTGCATTATGGATGCAAGTGCAACAAGCTTTTCTAGACAGCCATTTCCACAATTCCAAGGTGGAGAGAAATGCGGAAGGTGGCAAAGTCCCTTGGTTTAACCCTGGGCTGTGAGTGGCGATCTCCTGACGGACTAACGAAGCCTGGCAAAGGGCAGAATGGAATTTGGTTTGCTAACTGATCTTGTGACAGTATATGAAAGTCCTTATAACAAAATCCAGGAGAAAATTAACATTTCAGCACTGGTTTCTTCCCTTTTTCTTGCCTTTTCTACATTCTGGCTGTGGCAAATGATGGAAGAGGCAAAGCCAGATCTCAGACAGACTTGGCTACTGCTTGGTGAGGTGGGGCAGCAGCAACAGTCTGGAGCGATCACCTAAAGAGATCAAGGATGGAAATGACTTCAGTCTGATTGGCACTTTCCTGCCTGATTGACAGGGAGCACAGCATCTTTAATAATAATGAACGACAGTTAAACAATGAGAAAAGGGATGGGGGCCATCTGGCCCTTCAGTAATTTCATCTCTGAGACATCTGTTACTCTGAGAAATTGCTTGTGCAGCTCCAGCTGGCACCGCTTCCCACTTCCAACGTTTGGCTGTATGAAAAGGGAACGCACAGAGCCACGTTGGAGAGGAAGGGATTGTCCAGTGCTACGCTAACACTGGCCTTGCGCGTAATTGAGACCCTTGTTCTGTGTTATTTTCAAGTCTTTTTTGGAAAAGTAATCAGTTTCATTCTGAAACAGAACCATCAGAGCCCCAAAATGAAACTTCATTTAGGAAAAAAACCAAAACAAAACTATAAGCTTCAAGCAAGAGAATAACTGTAAAATAAGACAGAAATTCTTTTGTTCCTAAACCGTACAATTTTACAAAATGTAGATAAAACGTTCCCAGTCTTATGCTTAAGATCCTTATTGCATAAGTTCATACACAAAACAGTATAACAAAACTGATTACTCCACGCTGTAACTGCCTCTGTCCTTCCAACCCTCAAGCTAGTCCCTGTCAAGAGGTGCTAGTCTACCATATATAATACAATCTTCCAGACACCCAGGTGAAAAACGTGGTTCTTGCACGGACACTGCAAACAACCAGAGCATCACACGCGACTAGATGTGAGATTTCTGCCATCAAGTCTCTGTTTTTTCCTTCTACTTCACACCTCGTAAGGAGAGGACTGTATCAACATCACAGCATAAAACATACATTTGAAGTTAATGCATGAACATTAGAGGAAAATTTGTAGGAATCCCATCAAATCACTAGCATCGTTCCTTTTTGCCCACTCTGAAACACGCTTATTCTATCAACCTCTGAATGGAATAATTAAAACAGCAAACTCTGGCAAACTCTCACAAGACAGTTACTCCATAGCCTCAAAACAAAAGTAATTGCCGCGACTTAGATAATTATAAGCAGAGATATTAAATGAGCTGTCCTGCCAGGGATTTCACAAACAGGTGTTAAATACTGTAAGGATGAACGCACTAAAATGTTACATTAAAGGGTTTGTACTACAAAACTGCACTTGTTATGGGGAAGGTAAGCACAATAAAAAGAGATTTTAATCAAAACTATGAATATAGCCATATATTCTATCCATATATACGTCACACTAAACTAGGTCAGTAATTCTCCTATGAGGAATTATTTTAAAACTATTCATAAAATAAAATACTGGCAGAAGAAATGCAAGACTTAAAGAACAACCTGCAACATCGATAAGCATGAAGCAAAAAAGGGAGCCACATATGCAACGCTACAGATGATAGGGGATGACACCTTGAGGCCTGAGATCCAAGTAGGTTGTTTCACCTCCTCATGAATTTATTAACTGTGAAGTATTTGGAAGGATTTAATGGTCAATTCCAAAAAGGACCCAAGTGTCAACAGCTATTTAATCATGCAGCATCGCTGGCCAAAAATCAGGAAAATTTCTGTTCTTTAAGAATGCGTTCAAGCTTTCCTAGACGGTGAAAAACTGATTGTTGATTGAAAAGCTGCTCAGGGATCCCCAGGCACTATGGACGAATATTCACTCCAAGCTGCTATTCACAATAAAAAGAAAGAAAGAAAAATAAAAACCTATCCAACTAATTAGGAGGTTCAGCATAATGAAAACTTAACATTTTACTTTTATAGCTGAGGACGGGAAAGAATCATGATGCAAAATTAGTAAAATAGACTCAAGTAGCTGGCAAAACAGGAGAATTGGCAGAGACCAATTTTCTACTCATTTATCTCAGTAAACATCATTTTCCTTAATGTAACAAAGACTCAAGACTGATTAGGTTCAGTGGATGCCAGTAAACCACACAACCAGGAGAATATTACATACAGGCGGCCTATCTGAATTAGTTTGCAGATATGCTCAGGATAGTAACACTGTAAAAAATGAAATGTCTTAAATAAAATTGTAAGAGTGTACATCAAGAAGGTGTCTGCAAAGTTGGACAAGTTTGGGGGTTTTTTTTGTTTTGTTTTTTTTTTTTAAGCTTTCTCAGTTTTCAGCCATAGTTGCGTGCGTGTGTCTGTGTGCGTGCGCCTGTGTGCGTGCGCATACATTTATACAAATTTAGGTCATATGTATAGTTATATATCTAGGAATATAAAGAAGGACGCATCTGAAACAATTCCTCTAGCACAAAGAATTTGCATAACAATATTCGAGTCTTTGATCTGACTCTTTTAGGTCATCTGACCAAACTACAGCAGGCTTGAAAGGGGAACGTGGTGAGATAAGTGCCTTCAAGTAAAACGTTTCCTTTATTGTAATCCTTTCTCATTATTCTTTGAACACTTAAATCCTCATTTTAAAGTGACTGAACAACCTTTACAAGCAATAGTACTGAAATCCTTGGACCTCAACGCTTTGGTCCATAGGTGATGAGAGACGTAAGAGAACACGGGTCTTTCACGGAGAGTGATCTGTTCTTAAGTTTCCGTTTTCCTGGGGAACATCTGGAACTAAGCCTTCCTAGAGTGACTAGAAACAGAACGCAACGCCATCGCTGTACATATTGTCTAGCAACCGTCTTATGATTGTCATTAAATTATAAGCAAATTAAACAGAAGACATAGGTAGCTTTTTATATAACTTTTTATAACTCTGGAAGCCTTATTCAAGTTAGTGAGCGCTGTCTGAGCCATGGAGTCCCAATTTGAAGTAGATCCACAAACAAATAACCACTGGGCCATCCTTTCCAGGGAGGAAGCAGTACTTAATGCAACAAAAAGCTGTCAAAAAGCCAAACGTAAGGTCATCCACCTGGGAATGGGGGACTGCATGCAACCAAGTAATGATTCTGAAAAGGTATCATTTTACCCTTGCACATCTGGGAAGACCATTATGGGAATACTGCACCTAGTTATTACTTCCGTTTTAAAACAGATATTTAAAAGGTTCCGAAAAGATCTGCAACAGCTACACAAAGCTAGGAAACCCTTCTTACAGCAAAAGATGTAGGACCGCATTCGAGGTAGTTTATCAAAGTCAAAATTAAGAAATAAATCAATCATTTTCTACCACCATCTAGACATGAAACTATCCCTCCAAGAAAGAGAGCTTCCACTATGTAGTAACCAAAGTCACAATATTATTCATATGCCATTTTTGACATATTAAAGATATGCCACGATGTAATACAGATTATCTAGAAAACCAGAAATCCACCACCATATACAGTTCTTAAAAGTATACTGACCATATTTCTAAAACACATTTCAAATAACTGTTGTACTACCGATAAACATCATTCTTCTTGCAGGGATCACTAAGCATGACTTCATGACCACATGGTCCCGTACCAAACACTGTCTAGCCAAAAAGCCTGTAAACCTCTGCTCTGTATCTGATCAGTTGCTTCTTATTATACTACAACTCTTTTCTTACAATTTTTATACTTAAATATACTTTAGCTTCTCATGATAGTGACTATTGTGTGTTTAGTTTTTGGAAAATGTACAGTATTTGAGGATGACACAAACAAATAAATATTAATCATAACACTAGTGGAAGCACTTTTGGAATATTTTCATGCATTATTCATTTTCAGAATTTTATGTTTGTGAGATAAACTTGTATTACTTGCCAAATGCTACTAGGAAAGAACAGAAACTAGTCCAGCACAGAAGCCAAAACTAAGGCTACATCCACAAATACTTGACATGAAATATATTTTAACCTTCTTCACAGCGCAAGCTCCAAAGTAATGTCTACATGGTGAATGGAAAACATTTTGTGGTCCACTGTGCATGGAAATTTTTGCTGCAACTGAAGTCAGCTGTGAAAGACCTGTCATTGGGTATGAATGTCTCAGATTTAGAAGGATAATACTGATTAATAAACATGGTTAGTGAGTGGTAGCATACAGCTGCATTGCTCTGGGAGCACATCAGCTGCAGAAGAGCACGATATTACTCAACACACTGACTTATATATGAACAGAAGAAAAAGATAGGATGTTTCAGACAACTCGGTGGGGATAAGAATTAGCCTATAAAAAGATTTTCTAAAAAGACAGAGATGAGGGTCTCTCACCCATCGCTGGAGTCCTTTGAGAGGGACTCTCCCTATTCCCACTCCAGGGGCATGAAATGGTGCAGCTCTCCGATGAACTGCCATTGCCAGCTGGAGCACACGCACACCTATGCCTGCTTCTTGGGCTGCTTGACCCTTTATAAACATTTTGTAGGTGTAGTTGGAAAGGGAATTGGACAAGCTGTCTTCTCTAGTTCTAAGTATGGCTCCTTCAGGTCCAGAGCTGAATTAGGACCCCCAAAAGGGAAGGAGGATGAGCAAGGTCCTCGCAGAGTTGGCCTCAAAGAGTTCTGGGGACGGTTCTCTGCATATGCCACCCGTGGGATGGGGTGGTGAGCAGCCTTCTCGTTTCTCAATAGTTCTGCACAGATTTCTACTTAAATAGCTATTTCAATAATGCGCTGCTAAGCTGATTATCCAGCCTTCTTGCCAGATGCAGGAACTGTGTGCTGTGAAGGCATGACTCGAATTCCAAGCTGAGCTCTACAGAGCTCTAAAACCAGGGATTGTCAAAAATTTGCCATACTAACACCTTTGTTTATACAAAGTATGATACATCGCTTTAGAGGAAAGGAATCAGTGTGTGTTTTTAAACGTTCCTTAATATTGAGGTCAAACTCATTAGAGAGAGCTGTGACTAAATGCAAAGAGAGATGTAATTAGAGATATAACTACTTATCTGTTACTTCCTTAAGAGACCAATGATCTAGGTAATTTCTGTAAGTTTTTTCAGCATATGTAAGAATGCAATGCTCTTCCTTGCTATCTAAGACGTGTACTTCAGCTCCTTAAGATAACACATTTAGGGGAGGGAAAAGGGAATTTGCTATGGTTTTGTTTGGATTTGCATCTTCCTGTGCTGACTGGCTTCTTGCTCCTCTCACTCCCTTACCCTCTTCCTCACCAGGCTCCCCTCTCACATCTCCTATCCCTTTTTTTCATGCAATGCTCTTGTTCTCTATAGTGGAACTAACATGCCACTTGCTACCATCATCCTATTTATTTACTATGAGAGAAAAGAGCTCCTTCCAAGGAGGCAAAGATGGCATCTACATTTGACAAGTTTTACCTTCGTTATCAGTATTGTCAGAAATCATATCTTGAGAAAGGTTCACTGCATTACATAAATTCACAAAATTATCCAGTGGTTATTATCCAATTATCATTGGTTTGAGGACCCCGGTTCAGGTCTGCCAGAATACGAAACTGTAATTGTTCTGCTTTGCTGGATATTCCCATTCTGGAAGAAGAGCTCTTTGAGAATTTAAAACAAAAAGAATTATTTGAATCTTAATCTTCCGGAAGGGAAACGTGTCTGGACACACACTGACAAGCCAAAAGCAGGTAATTAGCAACGACAAAATCTCGGCATCTTAGACAACTACCAAGAGTGATAGGCATTTCATAAATACTTGCACAGCTGAGAAGCTCTGTGGCACGACTCTCAGAAAGAATCACAGCCATTTCTGATATGCTGATATAAATGAAATCAAGAACTACGCCTCCTCCTTTTACATCTATCTGCCTACCTGCCTGCCTAGCTATCGACCTACCCCTCTCCATCCTGTAAGTGATTTCTAGCTGTTTAACCTCCGACAACAAAAGCTTCCTTTTGAGATCCCAGACCTACTGGTATATAGTACTACCACATACTAAATGTATTAGAATTACAGACTCAAAATAACTTAGATAATTTTGAGGTTAAGACTTCCAAACATCATCATATCTAAGCCTCTACTCACGCCTTGTGCAGCCAAGTTTTGAGTATCTGCAAGGGCAGATATTCCACAAACTCTCTGGGCAACCTGCTCCCATGCTTTATTCCCCTCATGGTGAATTACAGCCTATTTACTGCTCTGATACCATCTTTTATTCACCAACGTAAGCTCAGCAACTGAGTCTAACTGAATTTGCTCTTGCTTCTCTCATTTGTTGCCAAGGCTCAGTTTTGGAGATGATTTAAAAAAAAAAAAATCAATGTCCAACCAAGTATGTCATAAAGCACATAAAAATAGGCAGAAAACATGATTCAGGAAAGAGACAAGGGAACAAGCAATGAGGCAGAATCATCTCTTGGCACATGCTTATTAAGATTTTTTTTTTTTTTGACCAAACTTGCTGTTAACACTAGACTAAAATGAAACCTAGGACATTTATTAGCAATTTCCGTGAATCCTTTTTAAAAAATGGGAGTAGTGAGTACTGAAACCTTCCAGTATAACCACATTTGATCAGAAACCAATCTACAGAAATCAGAAAGAAGATACAACCTCACTGCAATCCTAGCTTACTGGAAGGAAGACAGCTACATTTTGAGCAAAATAGTTGTTTTTCTTACTATTTTTTAGATCAAGGACTTGCTAGTTAGGTTTCAAAGGTCACTAAGCATGAATCACTGTAGCACAGTCTGAATCAAATGGTGGAAAGAAATTGTATCGAATTAATCTTCATTAAAATAACTTTCTTTTCCAACGATTACCACTTGTGTAGTGGTTAAGGGCTGTAAAAGGATGTCAAGTTTATATATCATTTAAACTGCTTGAGGGAAGCGACATTTAAGAATCATTCTGGAGGGAGGTAATAGTTTGAAATTCTTTCTTTTCTTTTTCTCTTGCTTTTGTCTTCAATTAGCTGTTTTTCATGCAGGTATTTTTTCCGTCTAAATTCCTGCGCAGCTGTGACTGCAGGAATTTAATCTGGGTTCTCTGTTGACTACAGATATTTGGGGATACGTTGTAATAGTTCTCCACAGAAGCTGAAGAAGCCCGAGAGATGACAACTCCTCACAAGCACACCCTTCAGGGGCAGACCTAGGAGCACCCATCTCTTTGGACCCTCTCTGCACCCTCACAGGAGTTGCATTACCCACGCTGCTCAGAGCCCACCACGACCCGACTGATTTCAGCCACTTCCTCAGCGGTCGAGCAGTGTCCGCCTGGACATCCTTTTTCAGGTCACAGAGAAGCACAACTTCAACTAGTGGGCTTCTCCTTTCCTACGACAGTATTAGCAAAATTGGGTCTGTCTTAACGTCAGGAAGGGATATGAAAGGAAAGCTGGGTTGCAAGAGGATTGAAAAAGAAAAAAGAAAGAGTATGTAGATCTTTAAAAGTAGAAGGTAGAGTGTTTTTCCAATATCGCAGGAGCATGGGTGACGAGGAAACGTTTTAAAAACCAGTATTTAATAAAATACACTAACTTCTTATGGGGTAAAAGGCAAAGAGTTGTTCCACTTTAATTTCGTTATTAATTGTAGGCCATAAATGCTGCTTTTATAACAAAATAATCTGAACGCTATACTGAGCTAATAACCTAATTTACCTGGTGACTCTGTACAGCCACTCTTCTCTTTGCCAGGACCTCAGGACTTACTGACCTCTTCCTTTTCCCCTTAGACCTTTCAACTGCTCTCCGCGCACCATCCCTCCCTGGTGACTTCCTCACGTGGGAAGAGACAAATGGGTAGGAAGTGAAGCTGTGTCACAGGTGCGTGGGGCAGAATAAGGATATAGGGTTTGAAGAGCTTCTATAGCAAGTGATCAATATATTCAGGCCCTTGGTCTTTTTAGGAGACCCCTTCTGGCTGCTACTTCAGATCTCCTTGCGAGATGGCTCCAGTAGAAGTAGTATTGCCATGAACTTCCTTTCAAATATCACACGCTTGGGGACAGGTAACAAATGCTCCAACTCCACTGCGCTGTTTGCGTTTCTTAGTATAGGCCCCGTCTGTACAACACCTCCTCCTTCCAGGCTCCCTGCACACCTCTTTCCCCAGTTGCAGCAGTCCCTCTGCCCACCTGAACTCTGGGCTCCTCTCAACCTCTCTTCTCAAGAGCCAGGTTCTCAGACATCCTGTCCTCTTTCCTCCATTTGCCTCAAAGATTCCATAAATTACATAATTTTAAACTAGAATTTGAATCTGAAAGGTTAATTGCATAGTTTAGGAACCCTGAATTTTATCTTCTGACTCAGATAAGTCAATTAACATTTGAAGAGCTGGTTTTGCCAAGATGCTGCAGATGCTCCGAGGTATTCTGTGATGCAAAACAACCCTAAATCTACTTGAAAAGACTACTGCTCTCTGATAAACAATGCTCTGAAATAGCATGAAGCAGTCCAAACCCACTGGTTTGTGCAATCCTAAAATAAAAACAAGTGCATGCATATGGACATACACATGTGCACATGAAAGTATACAACCTGCTCTGTTTGTGCATGCACAAGACATAGCACATCAACCATTTACAAAAAATGGAATATGTGCTAACACCGTAATCACTTTTTAATGCTGATAAAAAAATCCAAAACAGTTAACAAGAAAAAAAAAAGTTAATTGGAATTAAGGCTTTTGAGTGCACTTATGTAATTTAAAGAAGAAAAAAATCTAAAATAAAGTTCAAATTGTAGCTAAAGCACATATTATGGAAACTTCAGAAACTCACTACTTAAGACATACAAAATGGAAATGCAGAGCGGAGGTACCCAACAACGAAAACTCTGCCCTTTTATGTTATGCAGTGATTATATGGTTGTTAAAATAGCTGATGTTTGTGCTCCCACCTTAGATGACTGTTCTTTTTAAAAGACAAAGATTCAAATTCCATGTCTCCCACAACTCCTTAAAGCTGTTTCACTGAATTAAATTAAGGTTGTCTGGATAGCTCTACTGTATAATTAATGAAGGTTACACTTAGATTTTCTTCCACAACTTCACTGATTTTAAAACTGCTTTTGTGGCATCTAGAATATTACATCAGAAGAAAAATCAACACAGAAATTATCTTTGGCATAATTTAGGATTGCACGTAGCCAGCATGGCCTAGTGTAGCATACATTTTCTTACCGGTATCTATGCACAAATATACCCTTAAAAATAGAGTTCATCATATTTTCAATTTCATCTTGATTTTCTTGTAGCTGGAAAAAAAAAAGAGAGATAAAATAAATAAAAAGATCATTGCTCATTGTAATTTGACATTCTGTTATTCCTACTGGGAAACACTAGAAGAGTATGGAAGAGCACTTAAAGGTATTAGTTTCATCGTTTGCTCCTTCTCCAGCAGATGTGTAACACTGTGTATACATACATACGTGTGTGTGTGTGTATACATACATACACACACACATATATATATGCAATGCCTTAACGGAAGAAGGTTAACGTTCTCCACAAACATGAACGCTTTTAGCCTCGAAAGCCGTCCTTTGAGGTCACTGTGACCATTTTTTAGCTGGCAACATTTAGGACAGCAGGGGCCATGCGTTCAGGCCCCCAGGCGTGGTTACACGGACCGAAGCGTGACTCAACGGCAGCTGCAGAAACGAAGCCGGTTACTAAACGGACAAGACATGGATCAGGAAGCTTCGATGTCCTAATCGAGGGAAGTACGTAGGCACCTGCTCAGTGTTAAGCAGGAGCGCGAGTTCCTTTGAGCTCTGGGCCGGGACCCCTGGCAGGACAGCCGACATCCAGGCCGGGTGCCTTACGTTGCAGCTCAGTGGTTAAAGGAACAAAACAAAACCAAGCAAAATGAGGAATAAGAGTGTTTTCTTTTTTTAATCCACTTCGTCGCGCCTGTGTATTATGGGCACGTTTTATAACTACTAGGGAAAGTTGACTTTGTGACAATGAATCTGTTAATGCATCCTGAAGGAACAGCTTGGAATCAATTAAAACAAAGTATTCCCGTATTTTCATGTTTTGTTTGTTTTTTACTGAACTAAATAAATATGACTTAATCACATACAAACGCACTGTTTTGTTAAATGACAGGACGCCGAGTTTATACAACCCACTTTGGGAGCAGAAGTGCTACTGCACTCGAAGCCATCGTTCTTCCCTCAAGGTGTTTCTAAACGGCAAACCAGGATACCACAACAGGTACAAACGTTCGTTTTTCACATTTTCGGCACAAAAACCACAACAGAGCCTTGCTAGTACAGATTGCCCATAAGCATGAAATAATAAAAACTATATATTCATGGACATACACACTTAACAGATACAAGATCTTAAAGCCAGAGGCAGAATTATGATCAGCTGTTTTGACTTCCTGCGTAACAGGGGCCATAAACCCTTTCGCTTAAGGGTTTATATTTTTCAAGCAATGTTTATTTATAAATATTTCAATGGCATCTTCCAACTGAGATCTCAAGCAGTTTGCAATTAAAGCTCACAGCTCCCTAATACATAAGGAGGTGAGGGCTCCACTTTGCAAACGGGGAAACTGAGGCATGGAGGATTCTGGCCTAAAATGTCAAACCCCTCACAAGGAAATGAATTTCCTAGTAAAAGGGAAAAGCTGGGCGCATACCAGCACTGCATATACCAAAGGCTTGGCACACAAAACAAGCATCTGGTAGACAGAGCTTCAGGAGGAGGCACTATTTTCAGCATCGTGCCAACCCAAATAACACGTCAGAGAGGACAGGTAGGACAGAGTGATGTTTGAGAGCAACGAGAAGGTTAAGGTACTGAAGAAAAGCGTACTTTGACATTTGTTTAAACGGAAAACTGAGCACGAACCTACAAGACTACATGGCACAGATGAAAGGCACCACTGATAGCTTACTCCCCTTTTTTCTGCCTTTTCTACAGGGAATTCACAGCTGGCTATGAATGTTGTGTGCTATCAGCTCTAGTCCAAGCACAGCACCAGACTGCCATCCTCCGCAACTAGTGGTTTGGGACCTGGGTGTTGGGGCAAGTCTGGGGTAGGAGGAAAAAGAGTTTCAACTGGACCACGTGAGGCTCCTTCTACTTCAATGAGCCTAAAACTGCCCAAGAGATGCTGTTCTGAGCTATTTAAAGATGAAAAGTACTTTCTCAAGATTTGTGAATCATTTTCCGTCTCCCAACCGCAAACTAAGGCGCGGGTATGATAAATGAAAATCAGCGTCAGCATTATCCGTGTCAGTTCTTGTCAGCTCGGCTCCAAATGCGTCACCCGCATCACGAAGATAAGGTTAACTTCAACGGAGTTGGGATAGGTGGAGAAAACTCTCCATATGCCAGATTCTTGCTGAATCTTTCGTGAGTTAACATTTTTTAAAATACAATGCTTAAACGTATTTTAGTTTCAATAATCAAGTAACAACTTCCTCAGAAATTTGAATTTTTTCCAAAATCGGAATTGCTTTCTATACTTTCAACTTTTACAGATCATCTACCTATTGAGACTTGAAGTGCTTCAAGCTCCTTGAGAGGAAAATTCCGCCTTAGGATTCCTGCCCTTCCCAATGCAAAGGTAATATAACACCCTCCCACCCCTCAACCAGGTAAAAATAAGGGAAACATTCTCCTGGCGACTCTGCAAACACTGTGTGAAGCTCAAAAAGACATGTATGACAAGCATACAAAATTTGAATTAGTACTGGCAACAGCTAAAAGACAATATTCTCTATTTTGTGGCTGATGATTTTACATAAACCAACCAGTTTAGTTCAAAATGTCATTGACTGGAATAGAAGGCGGCTACGGAGGACCGTTCTCACATTAGATTTGTAGATGGTGACATGAGACTGAAACACTTCAGAGAGAACTTTCCATCTTTTCTTTTTAGGATTAATTTTCTATAGTTAGCTTGCAAACTATACCTATATAGCGCTATGAAGACAAATGCATGCTTGCCTATTAGCTTATGAGGGTTTATTACGGCACTACATCAAAAGAACCAACTAAAAATTAGGTGCCAGCATGGAATACTGTCGTAAATTCAGTATATTTAAACATGGGGAAAAACCAGCATTATGCTAGGGATTCTTATATAGAGCCATCACGCCCTCTAAACCTACTAAATCTACTCAGTACAGGTTCTTTACTGTGCTTAATGCCACGTATCTGAGGTCACATTTGATCATCACCATTCCTCTCTAGCTCATTCCTTTGCAACATTTTGATTAGCTTTAGTGAGCAATAATAGGAGAGGGACTGAGCAGGCATGTCAAGAGTTAAGATTTGCCAAATGCTCAATCTTTATTCTTCTTTTAGGGTTTCACAGCCCCATGCTAGCTTGGGCATACAATGCTTCAAAGTCTCCCCAGAGCAATTACAGAATCACAGAAGAGTTGATGTTGGAAGGGACCTCTGGAGATCATCTAGTCCAACCCCCCTGCTCAAGCAGGGTCCTCTAGAGCACTTTGCACAGCATCGCGTCCAGGCCGGTTTTGAACATCTCCAGCAAAGGAGACTCCACAACCTCTCTGAGCAACCTGTGCCAGGGCTCTGTCACCCTCACAGTCAAGAAGGTTTTCCTCACGTTCTGATGGAAACTCCTGTGTTCCAGTTTGTGGAACAAGCCCAGCTCTCTCAACCTTTCTTCATATGATTATACAGTTTATACACTGCATCTCCGAAAGACATCGAAAGAATAGCCGGAAGGAATAAGTATAGAAGATGTCCACAGACACAGAGACACAGGACCAAGTTCATTAGGGTAATTAGTGACTGGAAATTTCCTTCTCTGGAAATTCAAAGCAACAGCCAGCAAATCTGGAATAGTAACTGTGCTCTAGCTATTTTAACAAAGCAATCGTGCTTTTCTAAACGCTTTAATGCTTGATATTGGAGGTTAATAGCTCATTATAAATGTTTTCCTTGCAGTTTGGGCAGGAGAGATGGTTCTTGTTTTATAGTTTACCCTATTATTTTTAAGAATTGAAAAGTCCAAATAAAATTGTGTTTAAGGATCACAGTGGTAAAATGAGAATAAAAATACATCATTGCAATTATCCCCAGACAAAGACTGTATAGTCAAACAATTTAGGGTCAAAGCTATACCTAAAAGATTCCAAGGTGCATACATGTAAGGCACCCAGACACCCCTAATTTGCCATGGAGTAAGAGTGGTGGAGAAAATATATTGAAAAATAATATATTAAAAATAACAAATATATACTACCATTCTTTAATCAATCTTAGGATTTTTGCACGGTATCTTTACAGATTATGGCTATTTGGGTGTATTAATACATCCATTTTCTGCTTCTTGTCATCTTTAGATTACTTTTAAGTACAACTCTAAAACTGAATTTCCTGGGATATAATACTTTATTTAAGGATGATTACAGCAACCTTCTAACGGTTTTGTTCACCTAATGCCAGACTGGTACTTACTAAAAGCGACTGTAATGTCTCCCTAGCTTCTTCTCCCTGAGACCAAGTGCTATAGCCCCCACTCCAGTGTTTCTTGAAAGTAGCTACAAAAAGAAGTACTAATGAGACACTAGGTAATAACTGCGGTGATTAAGGGGAGGCACGGGCAGTGCAGTGAGGGACTACACGTGATTCCCTTTTCAAAACTTTCTTGCATAGCCGAAGCACGTTACTATGTATAACTTCAGGCTAATTTTCTTCCTGCCTGGTCATGTATATAAGGCTGAGAACCGAAATTACGCTGTGCGTGCAGAACAGCACACAAACTCAAAGGTATGTGATAATACAAGATGTTAAAATGCCGCCCAAAATAATGGGCTTGAGACCGCACAAATGCTACAGCAGAACTAATCTCCTGTTTCTCACTGCCGTACTTAAGTCACAGATCACCTTAGACTTTTTGTCGGAGGGGAGTGCACATGAACCAAGAAAAAAACCACTGATCTTTTCACTTGCCTCTTTTCTTTTCTGAAGCAGCAGCTCCAATCTTTCATTAGCTCTTTTGCCAATCATTTTGTTTCTCTCAGCTTCGTACTGCCTCTGTGTATTATCCTGATGAATGCTCAGGTTTAAGGCAACGTTCACAAGAGCAGTCATAAGCTTCATAGCTGTAAAAGCAAAAGACAAAAGATGACTATTCACCTGTAGTCAGTGCTCGAAAATACTGCCTCAGCAGATCCATTCTCCAAAAATAAACAACTCTTGACCCTGATACAGAACCATCTGGGAAGGCACTTCCCACCCAAGCAATACCCAGGCCTCTTCACTGGTCCAAAGATCAGAGATGATGGTAGATACCACACTGACTTTCCCATCTTCTCCAGAAAATCCTGCAATTTCTGAGTGCACAGGGTCAGAGAGCAAGCATGGGAATCTGCAGGGTCAATGCACACCACTAAGCCAGTTACTGTGGAGCTACGTATACGTTTCTCTGCTGAGAAGTATCTTTGTAGATGCCTCCCTATTAAGGAAAACTCTTAACTAATAATTATTGAAGATTATTCAATTTGAAACAAACCAGAGCATTGTTTCTCTGAAAGTAACTCTTGCCTGGCTCTAAAGTCAGGGGTATAGCTGTATAAAGATATGATTAGAACTTTATGTGTCACTTTAAATCGATTTTCAAAAGTGTTACATGTAATACTGTTCATGTATATTTTTTCATGTTACTTTAGATCTACAAAAACATTAATAAATGTCTTTCCTAGGTTCTGTGTGGTTACATGGCATATCACATTTTATGACACTGAAAAAGAGAGCAAAATAATGCAACAAACTATCACATCCACTCTGCTAAATCTGCAGCATCGTATTGTTAACAAAAACATTTCACCTGCAGAAGGAAGCCCTGTCTTCAAGGCAGAAGAGCAAGGATGCAAATAGAGACGAGAAGCTACTTGTAGGGTAACTCAATCTAATCTCGCTACTGCTCAAAGCCAGCAAGCCTAGAAGCACCCATAGGCACTTGTCCTAGCTCTTTGCAATAGTGAATCGTTTCTCATTCAGACTGGCTAGCACAGAGGAAAACTGCAAATAAAGACCTCAAGAACACTCCTCCAAGAACAAATGAAATTCCTAAAGTAAATTTTCATAATCGTTTTCAAGACTGAGCTCCATAGCATCACATTGACCTCTGCTCTGCAGGATAGCAACATAATCAAATGTGCAAAAAATCACCTGAAGGCAATTTGCAGCATCAAACAAAGCTCTCATGTTTGTTTAAGCAAATAAATAAAAAGGTACATAAAACGCATCTGGCATGTTAAATCTGAAAACTGGAAAATGCTGGAGATCTTCAGCAGCTCCTAACTCTAATTCATTAAAGTACGAGATATACACTATACCTAATACAATGAGCCAGCAGTGCTAGAAACCTTTAAACAACTGAAGTTAGCTGCAGTAAACCTAGGCCTTAGCATTTACTTATACTTGCTTGGAGTTTTTAGCTACGTAATCCATTGTGAATGATGGCAGCTACTTCTTCTACGTAGCACAGTTCTTGTGTCACATCTAACGCATGGTGCTGTTTGCTGCCTCTTCAGTCAACCCACTCAAACTTTTCAAACGTTACTTGTCCCAAACCATGATGAATCGATCAAAATAAAGAGATCAGAGCACATACATGGTTATCCTCACTCCATGATCTCTCTCCTATAAAACAACCCTTCACTAGCCACGTAAATCAGAATCACCTGGAACTGAAGATAGTATCAGCTGGAAAGGAATTCAGTTGCCATCTCAGTTTAAGTAATAGGCAGAAATGTCCAGTGAGTTATCCGCACATTAAACAGCGTTCACATTTGAAGACTGAATTTGCAGAGGCAAACTCTGAACATAGAAACTTATACCTGCATTATTCATGTTTTTTACCATCCCAAAGTACTGAATAATGGAAAGAACACAAAGGGATAGGTTTCCAAAGGAGTTCAATTGTCATGAGCTGAGGGTTTTGTTTTTAAATTTTAAATCAAACTCCAATCATATCTGGAGTTGGTTTGGTGGTATCATTGGAAAGCTGCCTCTTACTTAGATTCACAGTGTGAGAAAAACTCTAAAAAAAAAAGAAAGAAAGAAAAAGAAAGAAAGAAAGAAAGAAATCTAATACAGATCAGATGAAATATGTTTTTCTAGCCTATTCCTATCTAAAAATATAACGAGCACCTTGCTCAGATGCAGGCAGGGGTGTAGAAGACGACAGTGAGCTCTAGAATTATGGCCTAGTGTTCCTGAGCCTAATGTTGCTCAGGAAGGAAGGCACAGATTTTCTTTTCTTTGGTGGACTAGAATTCTTTTCTAATACAATTCTGTTGACGCTTAATCAGAATAAATTTTTGATACAAAATTACAAAGATATTTTATACAAGAAATGAGCAATTCATAAAGAAACACAAGACATCAGCGTGCCGCTTCTGATTTACAGGATTCACTAGAGTCCTCCGGGCATGACAGCAATCTCTGAGACTAAGTGCCTGGGCACACTCAGATACAGTAAGCGGTATCTGAAACTACCTTTCATGATAATTGGCAATTAATACAGACATATAAACCTAACTTTCAAAAGTGTCTTCACTACCTAGCGCTTCACTCGCTGTGCTACTCGGCTACAGATAAGTGGTCCCAGTTTTTAGGACTGCAAAACAGATTTCACAAACACTAATTCATATACGCTTATTACCAATAAAGCATTCAGATGACATTAAAGTAACAAGCCCACAGAGTAAAGTCTGCAAATATAAACAATTCAAATAAAAATTACACAAATAAATCATCTCTATTGAATATTTGACTACATCACTGAATGATTACCTGCATGTGTGTATATACACATACATACATATGTATATTTATGTGTATACAAATATGTATACACATCTCGTATAAAAAGGAAAACTGTATTTTAAGTATAGATATACAATGTACGGTAGTTGGGTTTGAATACGCGTTCTGGAGTTCCCAGTGTTGGTCAAATTCCTCAAAAATTACCGCTACCAAATGAGCGGTAATTTTAGGAGCAGCTAAACAATAACATCTCTTTTGAAAATTCTCCGTGCTAGGTTACTTACCAGCTAACGTACTAGTGTGCCTGAAAGCCCGCACCTGGGAATCTGACAAACCAGTCAGAAGAGAGATCACCGTGTCCATCATGTATTCATCGTAAATGATGCTGTACTGACACTGTCGAATGAGCACTCCAATGAACTCACAGAAGTTGGAGCGAAACTTTTTCCACTGTGGCCCAGGCATGGTAAGTGGATAATCACCGCTGTCCTGAAGAAAGAGAAAATGAATATACTAAGTATTAAAAGTCTCCCCATTTAATTTATTACCCACTTGCATTCGGGGCTCTGCACACTCCAAAATGCGCACCCAGACTTAATTCTCTTCCTCGAGTGCTGGGTCAGGAAGGGGGACAAAGCACAGGGAAGGAATAGTTCAAAGTCTTCAAGGTCAAGACCTAAAGGAAGGCTTGTGTGATGGCAGGTTTGTGTCCCTCTCGCCCCACTTCCATCCCATGTTAATATTCTAAACAATCGGTTAGGTCTCCCACAAACTTCGCTTTACTCAAATTACATTTACAATTGAGATCTTACCAGAAAGTAAAGGTTGCCCTTTTCTGATTTTATGGACTTACCCTTTTTCTAGTGATTACTTTCTGACTGAAGCACGGCAAATTTTTCTACAGATTCATATTCCCTGAGCAAGTTCACAGACCCCGTTTTCCAACGATTATTGCAAAATTGCAGCGAGCATGTGAACCGTCAATTCAATTAAACTTCACTCCCCTCCAGGACTACTGTCTCACTCTTCTTACCTCAAGCAAAACTGCCTTTCAGTGAGATTGCCCTTCCCCAATTACAAAATGCTTTTTTTCCTTCCCCTCTCCAATGAAAACCACTGTCTACAAGCTCCCCCTCCTCTGCTTTGTAAGCCAGCTCCGGACTCTCCAGAACCCCAAAGCAGTAGCGTTCCCTCCCGAGTCTCTCCCCCCATGATAAGCAGTCGGTAGCATAAAGGTCAATCCACTCGCACGTTTTTATTCTGCGTTTTTGTGAACAACGAGCAGTTCTGCTCTCTTGGGACTTAAAGCACAGATTGAACCACGTAAAGCCAGTAACTTAAGTGCAGAGGAGTTGCAATCAAACAACCTTTTATCTAAACTTCATCAAGCGTAGTCCCCTGCAGCAAAAACCTACCTAATTTAACTAAATCATACAGACATTTCAGTTATACTAACATAATGATTAAAGTTGCAGAGGCAAGCGCTCAAATGTTAGAAAAAGACAAAATTGCAAGACAGCCTTAATGACCTTACTGTCTCATTCATCACAATGGCTGAGCGGCATTATCTCAATGAGCAATATTTTTTTTTTTTAATCTTTGTGTGCCCAATTTGAGACAAATATGAGGTTAAAAATTAAAAAAAATAATAAAAGAAGAGAATTTAGAGAGTTGTAAAGCTCTGGACACAGTTCAAGATACCTCCTCACACATTCAATTGTAGCTGTGAGTCCTGAGAACTTCTGCAAATCAGACCAAAGTGTTTCCTAGTAGAAACCCAGCTAAAAATAGAGTCTAAATTATGCAGTGCTGGACAGGACATTTCCCACAGAATGATGCTATCACATTTCCGGCACCCAAATAGCGAAGCTGTGAGGAAATTCCAAATAGTGGAATTCCCTGTCTCCAACTGAACCTTAGGCAGCAGTGAACAAAGTTATTTTCATCGCTTCCAAGTCCTGCACAACTGTCTTTCCACTGACGATGAAGAAAACTAATATACCAATCCCTACCACAGATGCTGAAATTAAGACCAACAGCCAGCTGATTACTGCAGCACTGAAAGAAGAACGCAACTATCTTGAAAACGTAGAGCGAGCAGCAAATCTGTGCATCTTCAATGGAAATCAAGATATTTTCTGGGCAGCACACCGGGCTAAAGAATACATGATGTAAGATTTTAACCCAGCTAGTGCTGTGCTTGTACTCCTTTTTCTTATTAGCTCTAGGCTTGTAGGAAAGATTTATTGTATCACAAATACGAAAATGGGTACTTTACACCATCTTCGCACACCAAGTGAGCACCAGTCCCTTTTCACCCTCATCTGACACAACAGTCCTGGAATTTTCAGTACATTTTGGTACAGGGCAGAAACTATCCCATTAAAGTGGATGCTCGCCATGGGAAAATGGCAAGTCTAAAGATCTAAAGTGAAGCTAGGTTGGGCTGGTAGACTGTCCTAATGATTTTGAAGAGAGCCCTATCACCTTTCTCACCCTCCTTCGCTCCCTCACCCTCAAGTAGGATCTTCTCATGTCTCTTATTTGTTGACTCTCTGCCTTCAGCCTTTGAATTGCGCTTGGATTGAAATGGGATCTCGGGGAGCGAGAAGACAGCAGAGCAAGGAAAAGGCTCTGGGAGCAAGAGTATTAGGCAGCACCTTAGTCTCATGATGACGCGGTGGGGGATGAAATGAAGAACTGAGAGGCATGGTCCCCAAGCATGCAGAAAACGGTGTCACTTTACTGAGATAATGCACGATAAGCTGGCCCAGCCACTACTGTTGGCCCCTTTCTGGCTCCCTTTCCTTCACTGCTTACTACAGACTTAAAGAAAGAAAGAAAGGAAAAGAAAAAGAAGGCTGCAGTGGCAGGATGGATTCAAGGAGGCGGCCTAGTCAGTCTGCACGGGGTCGGGGGAGCACAGCCACCATCACGGCTGAAAGGAGGCAAGACATAGATCTCGCGGGCCTCTAATTTCCCTCTTTCTCCAGCAAGCTGGGAAGCCTCAAGAGGATCTGCCATATTTAGCTCGAGATGCCCCTACCCCAAAGGACTGGCACTGACAAGTGGTGCCTGCTACCAACAGCTCTCCCAGAACCACAGGATTCTGCTTCTGAATCTTGAAGGGGCGGCCACAAAACAGCGCGCTCAGAAGCGTACCAACGCAAAGCTCGTTGCAACTAATTTTAAAATCTGCTCAAGACTGAGAAAGATTACTTCATTTCATTATGCGTTTTACCCTGAACACTAACGTAACCTGCTCACGGTGCCTTTCCTAAACGTTTTTGGCAGGTCTCTTTTGTGATATACGATGTCCTGCTAGGCACAGAGCAATCTGAAATATTATGATTAGCAATACGAACAAATAGGTCACAAGCCAATGACAAACTCACCATGCTGTCACCACTGGATATAGGAACATCAATAGAAAGCCACATTAAAATGCCAAAATGTTTGCCACTGCCAACATGGCATGACGATTCCACATCTCAAAATATCTACAGGGTTGGGGATCTAAGACTAACAATTGTTAGTCACACCTTTGTGCTAAAACCCATAAACTCTTTCATAAATCTATTCAAGTATTAAGGCAGAAGGTAGCACAGAATCTTTCAAGAGAAATTTTAGGTAACGGAGAAAAAGTTTACACACTAGGAACTAGAATTTGTGGATATGTCTTGCTAACATGTACAGTCATACTGTGAAAAAGCACATTTGGAGGGGACTCCCCTCGCTTTTCTTTTGGGTCTGATATCTTTCCTTCCTGCCCTCCCAAGATGACTTTTTTTGGCAAAAATGACCAAGTCCTACACAAGCCAATAAAATTAATCACAGAATCACAGAAGAGTTGATGTTGGAAGGGACCTCTGGAGATCATCTAGTCCAACCCCCCTGCTCAAGCAGGGTCCTCTAGAGCACTTTGCACAGCATCGCGTCCAGGCCGGTTTTGAACATCTCCAGCAAAGGAGACTCCACAACCTCTCTGAGCAACCTGTGCCAGGGCTCTGTCACCCTCACAGTCAAGAAGGTTTTCCTCATGTTCTGATGGAAACTCCTGTGTTTCAGTTTTTGCCTGCTGCCTCTCGTCCTGTTGCTGGCCACCACCGAGAAGAGTTTGACCTCATCCTCTTGACATTCTCCCTTTAGATATTTGTACACATTGATGAGATCCCCTCTCAGTCTTCTCTTCTCCAGGCTAAGCAGGCCCAGCTCTCTCAGCCAAATCTATAATCTATAGATTAAAATTATAGATTAATCTATATTCTTTCCTAAACTTTCCAAGCTGTGCACTATGGATGACAGAAAGATCCTCTTTTTCTACACCAGCAACATGGGAGTTTTTATTACAGTCTTTTTACAGAGAGATACTAGGGAACAGCCATCACCACACAGGAACTAAATAACAGGAAAACTGGCTGCACAGGAACCTGATGCAAGAGCTCAAAGGTGTGTACTGATGCCCCAGTAGGGCCAATCCAGCTCTGCAGCGTCTCTGAGGAGTGTTTCTATTACCTGCTTGGCAAATACGTGGAGCTGTATTTCTGCCTTTATCGGACATTAAGCAATTGCAAAACCACACACAGTTGATGTGGTTATTTGGCAGAAGCAGCCTGATCCAACACAGCATGGTCTTATCTACATGGATGGGAGTATCTCTTGGAGCACCTATATTCACAGAACACAGCAAATCACGCCTCTGCAAGAGAAAGTTGCCTTTTTTTTTTTTTTTTTTTTTACAATATCAAAAGCAGGAGTTTCTTTTGAGGCATGTTGACTACATGTACATTTATGACTCTTTCCTCACAGCTTCTTTCAGGCTTCTTTTAAAAGCTTTAAAAGGCTTCTTCACTTTTGAACTGAAATGTTTGTAAATACACGCAGTCAAATTATATTGAATTCAGCGATCTGGCAGCTCGTTCACTTTATGTGATCCATCTCAGGCAAATACAGTGAAAGCACAGTTCGCATTCCGGGGAACTTGGGGACCACAGAAACCTTTATGGTACTGGAGACAACTTTGGGGACACGTCACAGCTGGCTTTTCCTATCACCCTAAATTTTCCAGCAACCAACTATCTCCATCAGTGCTTGATGGGGGGGATGTTGAGAAATACTGCCTTCTGTCAGCTGTGGGACAATTCTCCCTTGGGCAAAATTCACGTTCTTTGGCTTTCTCACAGTACCCTGCCCATCCAACTTTGCACAATGGGACTTGCTTAAAGGCACTGTCCAATGCTGCTTTCAAATTACATTAGTAAAAATTCACTGCATTTCATTAACCATTGTTGGGTGCTGTTTTAAGAAGCAAAAATAATTCAACCAGAATTCAGCACAAATTGATACAATCCCTTTTCCTTCACTGCAAACCTACACTTTATTCACTGCACCCTACCCGACCCTGTGCACAGTGGCTCTGACTTGCAGCTCCTCAGTGCAGCAAAAGGAGCATCTACACAGTCAAAGTTAAGCACATATTCCATGTTTTGCTGTTTAGGGCCATGAATTTCCATGAAGATGGAAATTCTGCAGAGCTTACTCCTGAAAGAGAGTAGCGTTCATATTTATGGTTTCCCTGATCACTTTTTGAATCACAGCCTTGGCCTCCCATTTAGAATTGGTCAGAAAAAGACACTGCAAACATGAGAAAATGCAGACATTTCAGTGTTTGTTTTCCTCGCTAAATAAAATGAAAACTCAGAATACTGAAGCTTTCTCATACATCAAAAAAATCAAAGAAATTACAGTTTGAAAATCTCAAAGCTAAATATCATTCATCATTAGGAACATTTTTATTTTGACGGAAGATGTCCAATCTGAACTGTAACATATTTATTTCAAGCAAAACGTTTACATCTGTTGAAAGAATATTATTTCCTGTAAGGTTGTTCCAAAATGGTAATTTTCATGTCAAGTTAATTTGTTTTAAATTGCCACTTCAAAAGAAAAAAAAAGTACTAATCTGTACGCGGAAAACATCCCAGAGCGCCGCTAATGCCTAGCCACAGTCCTGTCTCGAGCATCTGCAGTTCTTTGCTGCGCGATGGCAGTTTCGAGGGGCCGACGGCAGAATCCAGACCGCCACCACCAATTTTGTAGGATGAGAAAGCTCTCTACCAATCTTCCTACCGCTTCCTCTTATTAATCTCTCTGATACAGTCAAGTGTGATACCTGGATAAGGACCGACAAGGATATCCCACGAACAACGCAAAGATATATGGGAGGGTTCACAAGGAGCCAGTCCAGGCCTAGCACGCACCTAGTCTGGTCCTTGCAGAGCCACCAGCTATCTTTGCACGGTATTTCTCAGACCTGGCCAGGCTCTCTTACCACACTGGATGTAGGCTTGCTCCATGCTGCTGTGTGATAACACACTTATGCTCTTAAACTGACTGGATCACAAAAAGTTCAGTACCAGTATTTCGGCATTCAGGGCCCACTCGCTCTTCCAACAGGAGCGGCTACGCTACCCTTTCAAAATAGTTCATGACTTTGTGTTTCCATTATTACTCTTTCCTCAAGCCCACGTCGGCTTGTTATTTCTCATCCAACAGTCTAAATTGCCACTTTGCTTGTTTACTCCGTCAGTGCAGTTTCTTTTACTGAGACACTGCTTATCCACTGGTTTCTTGCCCACTGCATTTTTATTAACACACACATATATTGTCATATATTTCATAATGTTTAAGGCACTGTTTATATACTATACCTCATCAAATTCTTCAGTCATTTTCCTTATGATTTCTGCGTTTTGCATGTTCCTGAACATTTCAATTCTTACAGTACCTGTGATATAACGAAGGAACAAAAGAAATTAACACAACTTGGTTTCGTTACGTCAAAATATCAATCTCTAAGTTTTTCTGCAGCCAAACTTACAGCGAAATACATATGAAAGAGCATATAATAGCAACAACACCAGAAACACTTCGAACAAGACTGTCTCTTGAAGAAACGGGCAAAAAAAAAAAAAAATCATTTGTCCTGTAAAGTGCTATCAGACTGGGAGTTAGTAAAATTTTCAGTCTTTTTACAGCTGAGCAGATGTGATCCGGAAGGAATCAAAAAGGAACGTAGCACTCACGCCGTGTCGGCAGTTACTAAACGTTTTTAATTTTGTGTGTAAACTCGGATGCAGACCACCTCTCAGTTCTACAGCCGGTGCTGGCGATGCTCTGCTTTTGCTGATGGGCCAGCGGAGATGCACACAAACCGTGATCTCTGTGCGGAGACACAGGAGGGATTTTCCCGCGGCTCGGCTCAGCTCCGGACCAGCACGGCTTATCGGCAGCGGCGCAGCACGGTGTGAACGGAGCTGCAGCACCCGGGGCCCCGAGCCAGCTCCGCCGCGGGCGGGCGCTGCGACGGTCAGCACATCTCTCCAAAACCGAAGGCTCCAAAGGGCTCCGTCAAGACGTGAGCCAGGTCGCGACCAAAAGCAGCGATTGCGTTTATGTTATGTTTACGTTATGGATTAGCCCGTTTCCCCCATGTTGCCTAAACAGTGAAGTTGACAGGATTAAAGTTTCATTTTGAATTGGACAAAGCTACTAAAACGAACAGGTTAAAACGCGACAGCAGTAAACAAAAATTCGTGCTAACTTGATGCTAAATACCATCAGTAAAAACAAATAAAATATTTATACACCATGGTATTGCTTTTTCAACTAAACCTTGTCTAATCGCCCATCATATAACACAAGTCAGTACAGAGAACTTGCTTGATCTTCTTTTGCTAACGGAGGAAACGTAGAAAACGTAAGCAAATTACAGAACTAAAAAAACCCCAAACTACAGAGCTACAAACCTCACCCCAAACTTGCCAATATTACAAAGGACAGGCATCCTTGCTATTGCTAAAAATCCAGCTGGATTAGTGATCCACCATCTGGCTCCAGCATACAAACCATAACAGTAGAGGCTTAACAGCTAACGATATTGAATTAATTCCTGTAAAAAGGCTAAATCAAGACGGAGTTAAGTGTATTAAATATCATGGAAATGTTTTAATTCCTATATGTTATTCCTTCAAAAACAAGCATAAGAAACATATGCATTTCAAAATGAGCAAGCACAGTTACAGCTCACCAGATTTCTTTATCTTCACAGGGGTACTGTCTTACAACACAGCTTAAATCTTGATTTCTTGAATTGGTAGCACTTCTTCACCAAGTGATATTCACTTGTTGCCTATTTCATACTAGGCTGTCAACCTCAATTCTAATAATGGTGTTTCAAGTTTGTGCATGGCAATTTCCATATTTTTTAATAAAGCACTAGTAATATGCTATGTTCATGTTAAAGAAACCCGAGACAACCCTCTTCCCCAGCTGGCCAAAGCACAATCCTGGCTGTTTTTCAAGGCAACTGATTTACCACTTTGTAAGCAAGCTGTAAAGATTCTCCTCAAAACGCATTTCACAGTATCATCACAACATTTCGGTGCTGCAATGGTCAACTCTGTTCAAATCATAATTAGGGGAAGGCTAATTCTTACTACAGTTAATGACATGAAAGGTTTGCCTTTTTTTATGATTACCGAAAAGCTAAACCCTCAGATTTTAAGGTGGATCCTAAAACACAACACAAGTTCTATAAAATACAAATAAAGGTGTGGAGTGCAAAGAAACAAAATTTATTCCTATGGCCTCTGCCTTATGCATAGTGCCATTAGTCTTCTATCCTTTCCTAAATTGAGTTATGTATAAAGCTTATACATATATATACACACATATATAAAATGAAGAGGATTTAAATTGTCTAAGTCCATTAACAAATTCAGCAGCCTATTCCACTTCAGCACGAAGCTCTCAGTTCAAGCTTATTCACACATTGTGTTTTAAAATGTCTTCTTGCTACCGAGACGTAGGTAGAAAGCATCCACTTCCTTAATGACAAAACTGAATATAACTTTCAGTTAAAGACAGATATCAATGTAATTGATCGATAATTAATCACGTCACCCAATTTGGCTTTTAGAAGCGTAAAGAAAAAAAATATACAGATGATGCGACATTATCTCAACTATGGAAGAGTGAGAAAGACTAAGAAGCCCATACAAAATTGTATTAATACACTGAAAAAAAAAAAAAAAGGCCACTGTATAAGTGGTATTTCACTACAATAGGCCACAGTTAAATATTACTAATGAAAACAAACTACTCATAAGTTACTAGTAAAGGGACCCTTGAAATCTAAACTACTCCAGTTGGTACCAACTACAGACTGTGATCCATAAAGCCAGCTGCAGTCTCCGCTATTGGACCTTCAGTCGCACAAGCTACGCGGCCAATTTCAGCCCTTCTCTTTTGGATCTCCTGTCCAAACTCAGCAAGCTGCAAGGAGAGCAGTGGGAAAACGCAACTCAAGAGTCGACAGATATAAGGTAAGCCCACGGTCTCCTGCCAAATAAGTATTAATCCTATGAGACCTTAAACTCACGGTGACTGAGTCATCTCTCTCAATCATACTAATTGGAAAAATAGTAGGAAAGTGATTGGTAACCGGAAGAAAGATTTATAAAGGCATCAGGATGAAGACACTGGCAGGTTTGAACTGCAAAGTATAAAATGAAAAAAGGTAATATACTCTTCTGCATTAGTTGAAAGTTAAAAGTTGGGAGAGCACTGTGGAGTAATCTTTACATGACTGTTGACACTGTCGAGAGAGGGCAAGTTTCATAAAGAACCTGCAAAGACGGGTGATGATTACAGAACTGCTGCTGTCCCCGATATCATTCAATGTGCATTTCCTATACCTTTCCCCACACTTACTGTTTGGATCATATGAAAGAAAGAATTAATTTCCACAATGCCCATAAGTGCCATTTTTAATTGTCTCAGAAATGTTAATGACCTAATTTTTGCAGCAATTTTGTGTTGAATTCTCAGCGCCCAACTGTTTGGAGAAGAGAGCAGCCTGACACTAACAAGAAATCAGAAACCTGTAAAAAAGTTTACTTCATGCGACTAGCTCGCCACCACATAGGAGCATCAAAGCAGATCTTCCCTCATTGGAATCAGCAAGAATTAACCACTAATCTAAATGGAAGCAGTACAGGGCCAGCCGGACCACATTCAAATAGGCATGCAGGCTCCTGAATCCCATCAGGGCTCCTAAGACTCCACTGATTTCTGTGCATGAAAATAGAAATGCTTTACTGAAATCAGAAGTCGAGGTTCTAAAAAGAAATCTGCCTAAATATTTAGTTGAAATTGAAGCAGATGCCAGAATAGAAGACTTATTCCCCAGTTCTTCCTGTTGCACTTGCTCTGCATTGCCCAACCTCTGCCACAAATGAGACAGGTATTCAAAAGTCAGTATGTTCCTACAAAGCGCAGCCTCAGCTCCTCCTTGAACAGTTTCAGACTATGAGCTCTACTGAATGAATCCGTAAGAATCCCAAGGCAAAAAAAGAAGTACGGCCTCATGAGGTTAAAACCTTATCAACTGGACAATGATAGGAAACAACACTAAGAATTTGGGTGGCTCATCTGAGTCGATCCTCCCAACGAAGGCAGAACCAATTATACAATGGGCCAGTTCCTGAAACGTGTTCAAATGTGTTTTCTGAAATCCCTCTGCAGCGTTAACCCTTGACTGCTCATCTGACCCACAGTATACACAGAAAAAGTGTATTCTCTTCATTTTTCTGATCATCTATCGTGAATCTGAAGATGGTTAGCACATCTCCCATAAGTCTTCTCTTCTCCAGATCAAATAATCACAGTTCATAAAATCACAGAAACGTTTGCTGGAAGAGACCTCCAGAGATCTCTCGTCCAGCCTCTCGCTCAGAGCAGGACTGTTAGATGAAGGCAGCTGTGGCTTTCTCCAGCTGGGTCTTGAAAACCCGCAAGGATGGAGACCCCATCATGGCTCTTGGTACCTGATACAGTGCTGCACCACCCACCTGGGGAATATTTTCTTAATGCCCAGTCTGAGCCTCCCAAGTTGGAATTTGTGACTGATACTCCTCATTATATCATCTGCTACTAACGAGAACTCTCTCCATCATCTTTGCAGCTCCCCTTCAAATAACTGTAAGTCGCTATGAGAGGGCCTGTTGGCATCCTCTTTTCCAGAAAAACAAATGTGGCTCCTTCTAAAACATGAATATTAGACAAGACAAAGATTCAGCAGCAACCGTCTTTTCTTGAATTTTGAGATCTTGATTTTGCAACAAATTTGTCCATGTAATTTCCTTTTCCTTGAGTTAAACAAACAAAAAAGACAAAGACCAGAAATGTTACAGAGAACGGCATATATCCCAACGTGAGACTTAAGCAGTATTAGAAACATTATATGCACAGAGCCGACCTCCACCAGGCAGCAGAGAAGATGGCAAATAAAGTCATTAGTTATCTTGTCATCATGAACCGATACTTGAGCGTAGAGACACGCTTTACCATAGCAACACGATGTTAACCCGGAGAAAACCTGCAACCAAATCTAGGTTCCAGACTGGAGGAAACTTTGGTGGCTACAGTCCTTTCACCATTTCTACGGCCCTTTGGTACTTTCTCCTCCCACTGCCTGCCTGCCACCTGCAGTTCCTCCTCTGCGCTCATTAACGTACAACCATGGCACATACATATAGCATACAAAGTAATTAACTGAGATGGCAAGAGGCTCATTCAAAGGGACCACTACTGAAGCATTTCTAATCTCATCTCCTCCATAATACAAGGCACAGAAATTTGTTATTGTTCTGGTTGAAGAACTTAAAAATAAGCAAGAAAATACGTTTTTTTTCTTATTGCCATTCCAAAAAAATAGCCAAACCG